AAGAGGGCATCCTTGTCTATTGCCAGATTTCAAATGAAATGCTTCCAGTTTTTGCCCATTCAGTATGATATCGGCTGTTGGTTTGTTGTAAATAGCTTTTATTACTTTGAGATACGTTCCATCGATACCGAGTTTATTGAGGGTTTTTAGCATAAAGGGCTGTTTTATTTTGTCAAATGCCTTCTCTGCGTCAATTGAGATAATCATGTGGTTTTTGTTTTTGGTTCTGTTTATGTGGTGAATTATGTTTATAGACTTGCATATGTTGAACCAGCCTTGCATCCCTGGGATGAATCCTACCTGATCATGATGGATATGTTTTTTGATGTGCTGTTGCAATCAGCTTGCCAGTATTTTATTGAAGATCTTTGCATCTATGTTCATCATGGATATTGGCCTGAAGTTTTCTTTTCTTGTTGACTCTCTGCTGGGTTTTGGTAATAGGATGATGTTGGTCTCATAAAATAATTTGGGAAGGATTCCCTCTTTTTGGATTATTTGGAATAGTTTTAGAAGGAATGGTACCAGCTCCTCTTTGTGTGTCTGGTAGAATTCGGCTGTGAACCCATCTGGACCTGGACTTTTTGTGTGGTAGGTTCTTAATTGCTGCCTCGACTTCTGACCTTGTTATTGGTCTATTCATAGTTTTGGCTTCCTCCTGATTTAGGCTTGGGAGGACACAGGTATCCAGGAATTTATCCATCTCTTCCAGGTTTACTAGTTTATGTGCATAGAGTTGTTTGTGATATTCTCTGATGATGGTTTGAATTTCTGTGGAATCTGTGGTGATTTCCCCTTTATCATCTTTTTATTGCATCTATTTGGTTGTTCTCTCTTTTCTTTTTTATCAGTCTGGGTAGTGGTCTGTCTATTTTGTTGAACTTTTCAAAAAACCAGCTCTTGGATTTATTGATTTTTTTGAAGAGTTTTTCGTGTCTCTATCTCCTTCAGTTCTGCTCTGATCTTAGTTATTTCTTGTCTTCTGCTAGGTCTTGAGTTTTTTTGATCTTGCTCCTCTAGCTCTTTCAATTTTGATGATAGGATGTCAATTTTGGATTTCTCCACTCTTCTCATATGGGAACTTATTGCTATATATTTTCCTCTGGAGACTGCTTTAAATGTGTCCCAGAGATTCTGGTATGTTCTGTCTTTGTTCTCGTTGGTTTTGAAGAACTTCTTTATTTCTGCCTTCATTTCATTGTTTATCCAGTCGACATTCAAGAGCCAGTTGTTCAGTTTCCATGAAGCTGTGCAATTCTGGGTTAGTTTCTGAATTCTGAGTTCTAACTTGATTGCACTATGGTCTGAGAGACTGTTATGATTTCCGTTGTTTTGCATTTGCTGAGGAGTGCTTTACTTCCAATTATGTATCAATTTTAGAGTAGGTGTGATGTGGTGCTGAGAAGAATGTATATTCTGTGGATTTGGGGTGGAGAGTTCTGTAAATGTCTATCAGGTTTGCTTGCTCCAGGTCTGAGTTCAAGCCCTGGATATCCTTGTTGATTTTCTGTCTGGTTGATCTGTCTAATATTGACAGTGGCATGTTAAAGTCTCCCACTATTATTGTGTGGGAGTCTAAGTCTCTTTGTAAGTCATTAAGAACTTGCCTTATGTATCTGGGTGCTCCTGTATTGGGTCCATATATATTTAGGATTGTTAGCTCTTCTTGTTGTATCAATCCTTTTACCATTATGTAATAACCTTCTTTGTCTCTTTTGATTTTTGTTGCTTTAAAGTCTGTTTTATCAGAGATGAGAATTGCAACTCCTGCTTTTTTTTTTTGCTCTCCATTTGCTTGGTAAATCTTCCTCCATCCCTTTATTTTGAGCCTTTGTGTATCCTTGCATGTGAGATGGGTTTCCTGGATACAGCACACTGATGGGTTTTGATTTTTTATCCAATTTGCCAGTCTATGGCTTTTGATTGGTGCATTTAGCCCATTTACATTTAGGGTTAATATTGTTTTGTGTGAATTTGATACTGCCATTTTGATGCTAGCTGGCTGTTTTGTTCATTAGTTGATGAAGATTCTTCATTTTGTTGATGCTCTTTAGCATTTAGTGTGTTTTTGGAATGGCTGGTACTGGTTGTTCCTTTCTATGTGTAGTGCCTCTTTCAGAAGCTCTTGTAAAGCAGGCCTGGTGGTGACAAAATCTCTGAGTACTTGCTTGTTTGCAAAGGATTTTATTTTTCCTTCACTTATGAAGCTCAGTTTGGTTGGATATGAAATTCTGGGTTGAAAGTTCTTTTCTTTAAGGATGTTGAATATTGGCCCCCACTCTCTTCTTGCTTGTAGAGTTTCTGCTGAGAGATCTGCTGTGAGTCTGATGGGCTTCCCTTTGTGGGTGACCCAACCTTTCTCTCTGGCTGCCCTTAGTATTTTCTCCTTCATTTCAACCCTGGTGAATCTGACGATTATGTGCCTTGGGGTTCCTCTTCTTGCAGAGTATCTTTGTGGTGTTCTCTGTATTTCCTGGATTTGAGTGTTGGCCTGCCTTGCTAGGTTGGGGAAATTTTCCTAGATAATATCCTGAAGAGTATTTTCCAGCCCACAAGTCCCCTTGTACCCTCTTTAAAATTACTGTACCTTTTCTATGTTTAGGTATGTTTAGATATACAAATACCATTGTGTTATAATTGCCTACAAAACTCAGTACAATAACATACTGTACCGGTTCATTTTATTTTCAGAATTCTTATGATTTTAGTAACATATGAAACCAAATCCATCAGGAGGATCCTATTCAAGTGCTCATTATTCGTAAATCACAGAACACAAACTCTTTTTATTGTGGGTGTGTAGCTTCCAGTGTACAGTAAATCAATGGCTATGCATATCACTATTAGGAAAAACTCAAGAACTTAATTTTTCCAGGACAAAGAGAAATATGAACTATAAGGTATATATCTGAATTCATTTATAGATGGCTTTGTTGTTTCATTATTACCTAAGTCTATGGTTATACTTAGAACCAAATGTACAATATTAAACAATTTTACTCTGAAACACTTCTTAAAATTAAAAGAGAAAACTGATCTGTTGAAAAATTATTCCTTTTAATCTGGTATCTAAATATAGATTTTTTAATTGACAAATCTTATTATGTAAAGCCCCAGAACAGGGTCATGGCCAGAGATGATGGAGGGACAGGAATTACAACTGCCAAAGGCTGAGAGACCAAAGTCAGTTTCTTACAGCGTTCAAAAAGGTAAATGATAGCTGAGAGGCTGGCAATCATAGAAACCGTCAGGTCCAAGACAAAGTTTAGTAAAAGAAAAGACTTTCCTTTGCTTAAGGAGAGAAAAAATATCCATGCACTGAGAGTCTATGACATTTTATCTCTTGTATGAATATCAACAAAATTATTAAAACACTATTCACTTACACTATAAAATTAATGGTATTTATATAATTCTGGAAAACTTGACAGCAGAAGGTGGAAAGAAACCAATAAAAAATTAAGTTGCTCATTATCATTTTAAAGATATATGTAAATCAGAAATATTTTGCTCCTAGAGCCCAGTGGTACAAGGTGTGCTAGGCACATGATCAGCGATCAGCTGTGGTTTGCTAAATTGAATCAAATTGAAGAGCATGATAAAATGTTTCCAATGTTATCCTCCTGAGCCTATTGAAATTCCTATCTGGTTCATGGTTACTGTAGACCTTAAGTTCTAGAGATGCAAAGCACCATAGAGATTATCTGGGCCAAACAGTTCCATTGTATGCTTGAAGACATTAAGTTACTTATCCAAAATCACAACACGAGGATTAAAACTCAAGTCTCCTCAAAGGTACCTCGGTATTTTTCAGTAACACCTTCTGAATTTTAGCTTATGGTGTGCATATATATTCCTGCCTAAACATGTATAAGAACACTATAGAATCGTATGTTTGATTTCCTGTGCCACCTGTGAAGTTAGTCACATTAGACAATGTATTTGTATATGTGACGAACATATAGTGGGTAATGTACACTGAAGTCAGTAATGCTAATTGGCATTCCTTCTGGGGACAAGTGAAGTATGACTGCATTTGCCCTCCTGAGTAATGCTGGAAAGTGAAAACACAAATCATTGCACAGAGGGTGTTATTTTGTTTCCTGGTTAGAACTACCTGTCCAGGCACAGAGTTGATATTTTCCAACAGGTAAGACTATAGAGTTTTCTAAGACATATTTAGCCTCTCCCACAATGAAGCATCAGAACAATTCAGAGAATAGTGAGGGTAGGAGGGAGAAGACACCAATCTTAGGATGCTTTAATATTAAAACTTAAAAGCATTTATCATCTGGATTTTATAGATGAGCAAATTACTATGAATAAAATAAATTTACACTGAGTGAACACTCTCATTTCTTAGATTAGTTTTTAAAATCTAGTGAATTCAGCTGATGTGCTGACTTTATAACTTATTTTAGAGAAAGTCATTTTTATGCCCAAAGTTAAATTTGCATTACATATATAATTACATATAAATAAAAGCCTGCCTCACACTTTCATTCTCAAAAAACTATGCCTTTAAGTTTATATGTGATTCTGGGAACATAATATGCAGAGTCAAAATAAACAAAAAAAAATGTGACTAAATTTTTTTTGGAAAATATTGCTTTTACTAAAATAATAGCACTTGACTACTTTGCATTTTTATAAAATAAAATTACATTGAATACACAATACAATACATAGGTTTGTTGAATATAGCTAAATCACTGCTTCTAAGAAAATTTATAGCATGGAATGTTTATATGAGAAAAAAAAAAAGGTTTCAAATCAATTATATAAGTTTTGGACTTGAAGAAACGAGGAAAAGATAAGCAAATTAATCAAAGAAAGTAGAAGCAAGGAATCAGTAAAAATAAGAAAATAATCAATGAGATAGACAATAACAGAAAAAACTTGAATCAGAAGTTTGTTTTTTGTGAAGTAAAATAATAATAGATAAACCCCCAGCAAGATAAACTCTTGCTCAATAAAAGAGAAAAATCACAAATTATCAATGTCAGAAATAAAGGAGGTTATATTGGTAGAAATTCTGTATATACACAGTGTCTGCTTAACCCTGGAGAAGGCAAAATTTTTGTAAAGAGGACATAAGATGCATTGACTATGAAAGAAACAATTTATCAACTGGGGTGTAACAAATTGAAAACTGTTACCTGTGAAAAACATGACAAAGTTAAACCAAAAGCCACAGATTGCAAGAGACAGTATCTATAATTCATGGACCTGATGAAATACCTGTATCCAGAATATATAAAGATCATTTATACCTCAACAACAAGACAAACAACCCAAATAAAGAAAGAGCCAAAGACTTGAAAATAAAACATTCCTTTGAGAATTTGGAATCTTCTTTATGAGTGCCATTATAGGTTGTCAGATTTATGTCCTCAAAAATATTGCTTTTAATAAAAGAATAATGCTTTATTATTTAATTTTTTCATAGCCTTTATACTGTGTATTAATGTTTTTAAAACAAAGTATTGTTATGAGTTATCAAATACCTAAGGCTGCTTTCCTTCACATGCCACACTTCATGGAGAAAGCCTAGCCAATATGTGACATTGTTGTTTACACAATGAAATTTACCTCTAAGAATTATTGCACAGGAGTGTAGAAAAGATGGTTAAAAAGGTAGATCAAGATGTGGTAGGTAAAATAATAATGTAATTTAAAAGCAGAGGAAAAATAGCAGACATCAAATTTTTTCTAAAAATAATCTCTGGAATTTTCTTCAAAGAAAACAATTACAAAAATATACTTTGTAATACAAATACAGAACTGGAATTTTGTTTAGCAGGTGATAATTTCTTATTCTTTATTCTAAAGAAACTTTTTTAAAAATTTCAATTCAACAGTCCCATTCCTAGCTACTTGATGTGCATAATAGAAATTAAATACTAGTTTCTTACTTACAGTGGGAAATAAATTCCAGTTCTATTCATACCAAGTTAAAAACAGGTAAGGAGAATAGTGCTATCACAATACATAATGTTTATTTATTCTAATAACAGATATTCTTTAAACTTTCACATCGTTATAGAATATTTGTAAAACAATTAAGCCTGAAAAGTTTAAGACCACATTACAGTTCTTTTGTTTCCAAGCCAATCAGTCTCCTGAAGTTTGAGAGAATTACTGGCTTTACAAATTAGAAGAGAGAGAATTACTGAATTGTTGCCTCCCTAAAATTGCCCAGCTGCCTCTAATTTGGGAAAGATAAATGCAGGTTAGGAAGATCACTGGAAACTGCCAAACAGAAGCCAAGCTGAGTGGGAGGAGAGAAACTGAACAATCCATTTACAGATCAAGCTCTTGTGAAGGGGAAGAAGTATTTTCTGAGGAAGTGCCACAGAAAGTTTGTAATAAACTCTTTAAATTCATAGCTGCAAAGTATCAGCAGTAGCTGTTCCCTCTTCATACACCTGGAACCTTCACCTTTATAAAGCAGAGGTCTGTCTCTTTTCTTTTTTTTTTTTTTGGGTGGGGGGGAGGAAGGCAGGAAGGAAGGGAATAAGGACGGTAGGGAGGAAGGAAGGAAGGAAGGAAGGAAGGAAGGAAGGAAGGAAGGAAGGAAGGAAGGAAGGAAGGAAGGAAGGGAGGAAGCGGGGAGGGAGGGAGGGAAGGAAAGAAAGGAAATCAAGCAATGAAAGAGACATTGCCGACCTGGATCTAGAGGTTTACAAGTTGATTTCCTTTTTTTTGAGAGAAGGAAAGAAAAAAAAAAAGTAAAGGAGAGGAAGAAAGAGGAAAAGAAAGAGGGAGAGTAAATGGAAATATTGCTTTATTTTCAATAGTTTTCATATACATCAAAAGGAAACAGTAAAGATAAAGAACGACACTAAAAACGACACTAAACTGGAATTAGGCTACAAGGGCTGTAGGGCAAATTTCCACCATGTCCTGTCACTGTTCTAGGGTTCACAACTACATATGCTACTACAAGAAATAGTCAGTCATTAGAAGGGAAGTCTAATTCTGCCTGTTTTCATCCCACATTCTGCATATAAAATAAACAACAAAAAAATCATGCTGTCTTCCAAAACAATATAAACAAGCAAATGTTATTCATTTAACAGACATTACACAATTCCTGTGTTCCGTATGCTTTCACAAAGACATTCTAATTCTTAACACCCGTGCTGCTGAAGTGTTTCCCACCTCACTTAACAGACATAGACACAGAAACTATCAGCCTGTCTACATGGGTTCCTTGAGGGTATGGATAATATGTTACTTTACACTGCGGCCCCAAGGCATAACAACCAGCCCACATTAAACTCAATAAATAAATAAGTTTTGGAATAAATGAGTAAATGAATGAATAAGATACAATTAGGCTGATCTTGAAAAATGCATAAAATTGGAATAAGCAGAAACAGGGAAGTGAAGGTAGAAAAAAATACCACGGTGGGGGTGGCAGGGAGGGGAACCCAGCATGTGGAAATGCATATTACCAAAGAGAGATAGGCTTATAAGCATAGATGGCAACATAAAAGCTATTAGGAAAAAATAATCCAATCTCCTTCTTTCATAACTTGTGCTTGTACCTAATTCACTTCACAAATCTAATACTGATATGAAAAACCCAATGCCAGTAAATTACTTTGTCAGAGTCAGAAAAATATAGACTTCTGACTGGTGCAAAAACTTTCATATTCCGCTCAAGATCTATTTGTTTCTGTATCCCTCATGGTCATCTTCACACTAAGTGACTTGAGTCAGCAATAATTAGACATTTCTGAACTCAGTTTTGATATGTTCTTAATTTGTTTTGAATGATGTAAAAATGTCAACTCTCTAGAATCTGAGAGCATCACTTACAGCATGCCTATGTTGGAATTTATTCAGCATTGTGCGTCAAAGTGAAGAAATTCAAATTCCGTTTATGTTTCACAAACATAACTGTTGACAAGTTGCTATGAAAAGCAGACATTGACTCTGTCATTACTGCCAGTTACTCATATCTGAAAGGTTCATAGTTTAGTATGTATTTTCCTTTCCTGATTCCATAAATGTATAATTTTACATAAATATTTCCTTCTGAATTATCAGGAGCAAAATTTAGTATAGGTATGTTTTTAAATTTTAAAATCATTAATAATAGTTTAATCTGTCTTCTATGTGTGTTAGAGGTACATAAGAATTGTTTTATTTTAATCTGCCATGCATTAAAAGGATTATCAGAACTCTCCTAACCAAGAGCACCTAACATACTATTTTCTTGATTCAATTCTTTTTCAGGTCTCCCTCTGAAAGAGTCTCACTTTGAAATATATATTACTGTTCTACGAAATACAGTGTGTGTTAGTTTTTGGAATCCAAAATGATGTTTTATGATGTTCATTATGTAATCATATATTATTATCCCTATAGGCAGCTCTTGGATCCAGAAAGCAATATGGTGTATCACATCTAATGGCGCCCTATTATCACAGCGAGGGCGCCATTAGATGTGATACACCATATTGCTTTGCTGGATACACTCCTGGAATATCATTTAGAGTTGCCAGAGACTATAACTTAGAAAATTGGTGAGAATAAAATAATCTTATAATAAAAAAATATGAAAATGCTGTTTTCAACTAGCTATTGGTAGCTTTCAACTTATGGAAAGTAGAAATTTTAGCCTGTTGATTTAGGAAGACACACTTAACTATTTGGACTCTAAAGAATTGCTTTGTGAGTCTCAAATTCTGATTCAATGGAAATATTACTGTGTTCCCTGGAGAAACTCCTTCCTTGGACATTAAGACCTCCAAGTCCATTGAGTCCAAGGCCAAAGGGATGGGAAATGATAATTCTTTATGTAGGTTATGTGGTATAATAGTGAAAGAGGTCACCCTCTGCTTTATTCTTTTGTCTCCAGTTCCATGCATTCTAAAAATAGGAGAGACAGTAGTATCTATTAGCCAGCTCTACCCATGATTTCCCAACCTGTGAATTCTGGCTGTGAAGTAGACAGCACCAAATATAGCCAATTATTTTAGGCATTCATTGCATCCTGTCAGAAAGCACTCTAACCTCGTAGGGTATTGTCACCCAGACAGTGCCCAAACTCACCATTTAGTAGGCTAGTTCATTTGATTTTATAAAGGCACATATAGGTAGGTGATAAAGACATGGTAAAACCAATGAATTCAGTGAGCATGAATCCATTGTCTCACTTCCTTCTCTGTAAAATGAGTTCCTTCGTTGAAGGCAATGTAATTTGTGATACCATAGTGATGAGTAAGGCTTTCTGTACAAACCTGAATGATTGTATAGACAGAAATAATGTAAACATAGAAGAAAATCCATATGTCTAATAAAAATCTATATTCATGAGAAAAAAAAATGTTTGCCCATTCCATAACAGAAAGGATCCAACATAATCAACCAGTCACCAGATGGCCAGATAGTTTTCCTGGGGAATAATGCCCCTTTGTGGCCTTTTATTGGCCTGTGTTGTTGGTAGGTTAGACACCTAGCAGTGGCAGTAGCCAAATCAACCTTTGTGAAAAAAATCTCTGTGGTTAAGCCCATGAATAAGCTCCATCTCTACCATCATAGTCACTTTGTAAATGGACCCATGGAGTAACCACCAGAAAGGATAGCAAAAGAAGCTGACTGGCATCCGCAGGAGGAATTGCCTTGTCCATTTGAATACTGACAGCTTCTTCTGCAGCGAATGCCACCCGGAGCACTCTCACCTTGGTCACGCCTATCCACATGCATCTCCCCCAGAACTCCTTATCACCAAGTTTCCAGCATAATTCTTCCCAGGTCTCTTCTGTTGAACAACCTTTTAGCTGCTTCCCATAGATCTGTTTAAATTTATACTAGCAGCCATCTCTCATCCCACAAAAAATGTACCACCTTTTCCTTCTGATAGAATTTTTTTCCTTCTGATAGAATTATCTTTATCACTGCCCCCATGACCATCTCGTGTGGAGTTGTAACAGTGACCAGCATAAGACCAAAAAGCAGATAGGAGAAACCGAGGGAATACATACCCTCACCTCTTTCAGACTTCAAATTTCCTGTCCTCGCCTCTCCGTTTTACTCAGTAAGTCTTCCATTCCAGCTGTTTCACCCTTGGGTCAACAGGGGAATTCTAAAATCCTTTATTTCCCCATCTCTGGCTATTTTCTTCTCACTGCCTGCCACCCCAACCCGCCCTGCTTCCTCCCCAGCCCTTCCTTCTCTGAGCTATGGGATTCTCCTGAAGCGTCTTATAAAATATCTAGCCATTGACATTCCAGTGGAAACCTGCATTTGTCTGTGCTAAATTGCTGCCAGTTTATTAGTGATCAAAATGGTCCCCAATCTAGTCCCACCTGTAATTTATTGTTTAGAGAGGTACCAGATTTGTCTATGAGATCTTAACAAGGACTACATTATGGCAATTTCCTCCTGGATGTTACTTTCTTAACAAGTGCCATGTGCTGTGCTTTGGCCAAGCAAGGAAAAATTTTAGATATCCTACAAAATGTGTTGCTAAAATGTTGTCAAATATTGAGATAGAACAAATATTTAACTTCTAAAATTCACTAAACTTAAGAGAACAGCCTCATTAATTGTTGACTGAAATTACAACAAAATTCATATGTCTTTATGTATATATAATTATGTTGTGTGTGATAGTGGGTAAAATACTGCTATTTGAATTAAGGATTTTCACTTTTAATTTTTTCTCCACCTGGATACTGTCTATTTAGCCCTCCAAATCTACTCTTCCCCCTTACATACTCTTCCCTTGCTCTTTGCCTTGAAGCCGTAAAAATTATGTCCACTAACTCCTACCCCTTCTGCTTTCCTTTTGGGTTTGGCCAGTGAGAAACCCAAGCAGGAGACTGGAGGAAGGGAGAAGTATGAAATTGAGTATTTCTCTAGTTCATGAGATTCTCCTATGCCTGGCTGGCTGTTCCCTTCACAGCTAGTCACTGAGCCTCTATTATCTTCTTTACATTCTCTCTGGGTTCTCAGACTTTCTCCCTAAGTTCATTTGAGACTAGAGAGAGATGGCCTGTCTGATACTGGCCCTGGGTTCCTGCACTATTATTCCTTAAGTTTCCCTACACACTACCCACACCTTGTAATAAGGCCCTTTGTAAATAAACTCTCCTTGGCTTAAGCTATATTGAGTGTGCCATTCATTTCTTGTTAAGACTGACTGGCAAACCATTGTTCATCACTAGGTCCCTAACCTCTATGTGGTCAAGGTCACTCCTTTAGTTTATTGGAGAAGTGGGTTCTTATGGCTTATTTAATCAAGTTTATTCTTCTTACAGAGTTTCACCATTGCCCACAGGGAGTTTTTCTTGCATATGCTAATAGCTCTAGAATGAAAGTTTTATGTTAATTTACAAATAGTTTCAATTGTTTTATTGGGATTATGAGAAAGATGGAAGATGAAAGCACACAATAAACTGCAAAAATTCAAATGTATATACTAAAATATACATTCTTTTATCCTACTTATAGAAGTTTTCAAGAAAGAGCATTTTATGTTTCCTCCCATCCCTATACTGATTAGCTTCCTATAACTACATTTTATCTAAAATAAATAACGTGAAAGTTAAGTCTAGTTTTTATTTGGCTGTTAGATTTTAACTATAATATACTTGAAATTTTTAAAAATTTAATGTGAAAATACATTTTAAAATGTTTTCTGTAATGCAAAATATTAATTTCAGTAACAAAATTGTATTTCAATTTAGCACTGACGTCCTAACAACAAAACACATATATAGAAATGTTTTCTCTTTATAGAACTCAAAATAACATAAAAAACAAAAAACAAAATCAATAAACAGATTAAATTTCATTTCCACACTCTGTGACCTCTGTATTACCCTATTAGCAGTGAACAAAATACCGATCATCAAACCAATACTCCTGGATCATCTAAGGAGGAGGCCTCTGGGATTCTATAATCTTAGGTGTCGTGTCTGAGCGATATTTCTGTCTGATCTCATCTATTTCACCATCATCAAGTATAAATGAAGCCAGCACTGGAATCTGAGAAAAATAGTTCTTAGCCAGGATATGTTTGTGTTTGATCTTGTGAATAAATGAGGGTTCATATCCCTGCAAAGAAAAAAATCAAATTCTAGTAAATATCACAGATATATTTTGCCAGGTAAAAATACTGTCATGCTTCAGTGCCTTTGCTTGTCAATTCTTTCATCCCAGACTACATCTCTTTTTCTCATGTTGCACATCATCTTTCATGACTCAGCTCCTATGATACTTACATCTGGAAGTTTTCCCCAACTCTCCTTCTGACTTCTCTAAGTTTAAAGCACTGCTAGTTACCAACTCAATATTCATTCTCTCTTCCATTTGTACTGGAGGCCTGATTTTATATAGGGTGTGATGTGTCAAGCTTTCTTAGCCTTTATTCTGAAGGTGTCTAGTTAGGGTATATATATATAATCCATTATATTATGAATGTTACATATATTGAGGTTAGAAAAAACAAACATAACAATATAACAAGGAAAGTCTGAGAAACTGTTACCACCGAGAAGAACCTAAGGAGACAAGACAACTAAATGTCTTCTGTAATTATTTAATTATATACAATATATATAACCTTATATAACTATTTATTTATTTGAATACAGCCTTTCAAAGGAACTTTTAAGAGTGGGAAGACTCACCTATCAAGCACATTTAGCTTTTTGCCATTACTGAGAGGTATATGTAATGAAGATGACGTAGCTATCCTATCACTAAGAGTCCACCAAGCATGAGAGTGAAAGCTGAAGATTAAATATGGCTGAGGACAAGGTAAGACAACCTGTATTTCTGAGAACAAGGTGGAGCCACCATACTAGCCCCAAACTGCCAAACTTTGAAATTCTTGTTATGTAAGAAAACTAGATCCCCATTTGATTAAGTCATTATAAATTGCTTATTCTGTTCTTGTAGGTGAACCCAAATGCAGCTGAGACAACAAAAAATGTTATATTCATTAAATTTCCTTGTTTCTCTGTAATTAGTACAGTATGTGGCACATACAAAAGTAAATTCTGGTTAAATTAATAAATACAATCTATTACCTATTAATCTTAATTGGCCCTCTTTTCAATCAAATCACAAATACTACCTCTACTTCTTCCTAAAATTTATTTTCTGAGAGTAAGACATTCCTTCAATAAAGGTCTCCTCAGAGGGTCAAATCAAAGATAAAACAAAGTCCTCACTGAAAGGGCTAAAGGAGCAGAAAGCATTATATAGGAGTATCCTGAGCTTATTTTAAAATTTCTTCTTAACAGAAAAATTTACTAGTTTTAAATAGTCATCTTTTGAACTAATCTAACTTTGTTTCTACTTCTTAGCCAATACTTCATCCAAGAAAAACTAATACACTTTATTATGCTATATTAACTTACATATGTACAGGACCTTATAGGTTTTCAAAGTGTCTTTACAGAACTATAAATTATTAAATTTGAGATAAATTATGATATATGTGTTCAAGGGACTAATAGATAACTCTTAAATAATTGAATATTTTCCATATTGTATAATTTATATTGTTAAGTAAAGCAAAAAAACTAATTCCCAGAGTCATTTAATATGAAATTCATGCTACAACAAGAGTATATATACTTATATACATACAGAAAATTTCCAGAAGGATTTCAATAGATTATTATATACATAAGAAACAGTAATTACCATTACAATGTGGAGACAGGGAGGGGTGAACATCAGGAGACCTTTTTTTCCCCATTGAAATAGGTCCATTCTCTTGAAATAGCCATGTGGTGGTTTCAAACTATGTCCATAAATTCTTTAGGTGTACAAATAATTCTAAAAATATTACAGAAAGGTCCCATATACCCCACACCCAAATTTTTCTGAATGTTTCTCCATCTGGATTTATCCTATGTTTTCTTCATTATTAGACTGAAGGGATGGGTTTTGGGGAGGAAGACCACAGAGGTGAAGCATCCTTCTCCTCACATCATATCAAGGGTACATACCATACCATGAACATGACACCACTGCTGCTGTTAATATTAATTACCCGGCTGAAGTAGTGTTTGTCAGGCTGCAAAGTTCTTCCCCTTCTGTCCATAACATACTCTTTGAAAAGAAGTTATTATGCACAGCCCACACTTAAATGGTGGAGAGTTATTCTCCATCTCCCTAAGAGTAGAGAGTATCTATGCAAATTATTTGGAATTCTACATGGGAGATTTGTCTATTTGCCTCACTTTATTTATTCATTCAATTGTTTGTAAAAAAAATTTTTTAATTGATAATAATTGTACATATTTATGGGGTACATAGTGATGGTATGGTACATACATCATGATCAGAGTAATTAGCATATTCATAATTTCAAACATTTATTAGAGTTGGGAATATTCAGTATGTTTCTTCTAGCCATTTGAAACTATTACAGTTAACTATAGACATCTTACAGTGCCATAGAACGGTACTAGAACTCAGTCCTCCTATCTACCTATAATTTTGTGTCCTTAACACATCTCTTCCTATTCCTCCAACCTCCAAGATTTTTACTTTCTACGATACATTCTTTTATTCTGTTCAGATTCTAAGCCAATAATATATTGCTTTTATTAAAATAAAAAGTAAATAAAATGCATTAAAAATTGTTTAAGTGTTTTCATAGTTACTATGTAAGTTGATTCATGCCAAAAACTATGCTGAAAGTTTTAAATAATGGTCTACTCGAAGCTTCCCTATGATAAGATACCATTAACGTTTTTTTATAGATGAGAAAACAGGATCATTGAAACATTCACAAATTTACCCAATTTCTCCCAGCTCATGAATGGTAAAGCCAGAATTCAGAGCCAGGGCTGCTTTTGTCCTCCTTATTGATTCCACATATTTAGCTAATCTTTCTAAAAATTTATGAAGGAAAGAGGGCAGGTTTTCATGTCCTGTAAGTTGTTAGTGACAGAGATGGGGAGTAACCGGGTCAGGATTACTGAATTTAAGTCCATGATTCTTCCTACTTTGGCCAATGTGCACACAAGGAGAGATCAATCTGCTTCACTTAAAGTTCACATAATGAAAGTATTTTTCCATGTTTCCTATACCTCTGTCATATTTACTTTCAAGTATTTTTTTTTACTTCCTGAGAAAGCAAATATCTCTGGAACATTAAGAAAATTCTGAAACTGCTCCATCTTTCTGCAAGATATAAACTAATCTTTAACTAGGCTGAAAATTAATAGTTAAAAAATTATATCAGCCCAAAACCATAAAAAAGGCAAATGTTCTTCCAGTTTGTCTGGTTGCAAACCTTGGCTCTCTTTACAGAAATTCAATAAGACTGGCATTCTGGAATTAGAAATGCATCTGAATAGAACATTTAATTTGATACTGCAGTGATTTGATTAAATGCACAAAGGGAGTTGTGTGGATTAATTGAATATCAGCCTTGGGAATGAACTTCAATCTCATCATGGGTCCTAGATGAAATGATATTGCTAGTACTGGCTATGCTTCCTGTGATTAAATATTTATGAGGCAGCTTAGTTTACTAAATATCACATTTAATACAGCTTCAACTTATTGCTACCTTTTCTTTCAATCCCTAGGGTGAAATTTTTCTTAGCCTGGTTTCTTAAAACAAAATTTAAAAACTAAAAATTTACCTACTTTCTTTATACATCACCCCTTGTTCCATTGGAAAAAAAACAAACAAACAGGGAATCACACTATTTTAAATGACTATTATATTTTGTCATTTCTCTACTTTCCTTTCCCTGACATCTTGTGTGGAATTAAAGAATATAGAGAATCAGTATTAACTCTTGGGATCCTGGGCTTAGTGTAAATGGAGCTCTCTAGGAACTCATCAGGAACCCCTCAATTTACTCATCAAAATGTTTTTCAGATTGCATCTTTTAAGTTACTAAAGTTACAGTAAATAGCATTTAATGTTTATAGTACTTGCTCCACTCCCAGCAAGTTGGAAGCGAATGAAAAATGAAGCATCAGAACTATACCCCATCAGTATGATTGCCATTTAGACCACAAAATTATGAACAAAATTTGGGAATTGGGTGTTTTTAAGCAGACTCATGATAATTAATCAAAGAAAGAAAGATTCTGGGTCCCATAATACCTATCTGGTGGTAATGCTCATTTATTTACTCAACAAATACTAACTCCATTCTGTGACAGGCATTATTATAGGTATTAGAGATACAGGCGCAAATGAGCTGAACAAAATCGCTGTCTTCATGGAATTTACTGTGGAATGTGCTTAAACTTGCTATTAGGAGAGATTGGTATCATATTTAGGACTTGTGATATGTTCAAATCTCATATATGTATATGTGTGCGTGTGTGTGTGTGTAAATATATATATATATATATACACGCACACATATACATACCTTTTATTTAATCTGTGCCATATATAGCATCCATTTTTTTTTTGCTGTTAATCCATAAATTCTGTTTCTTAATCTGATGGAAGTACTTAAGCATGGAATATACTAGAAGGCTGTCAAGTTATCTCTAATAATCCCAATGATTAGCTTCCCAAATAAAGTTCAACTTTCTTACCTCTTCAATACTTGTTAGCTTGAGATGAGCAGCTGCTTCATCCTTGGTAAGAAGAATACAGTTCCAGGGGGACCACTCCAGGGATTTATTCCATCTCACCATGGCCAGATCACTGAGATTGTCCCAGGCACTGAGGACTGACTGGGACGCCCAGATGTTCTCTGTCAGGTACTGAATATCTTGTAGCTGCATGTCAAAGCAAGTTTTTAAAAAATGTGATTTTCTTCTAACCATAAAATTTGTTTTTTATAAGATTATTATATTACATGAGGAAATAATTAAATTATAGGGTATTTTTGAAGTGAAATATTTTTGAAGTGAAAAATACTAGGTTTCAATGGCACATAACCCCTTAGTTTTCACTAAACTTCTGTTCATTCTGCCTAAACTACATTATCAGTCTCACAGTTTCGTCCCCATCTTTAAACTAGAGTAAGCAGTATAAATTTCTTTCAGTATGCTAATTTTACCTTAATATAATATTAATGGTACTGTAATGTTACCTTAATAAATATATGGCATTTAATGATTTTTGAAAATTCATTAGTAAGTAGCATCTTAATTTCAGGGCCATTGTAGGGACCTTTTAAAATCTTTTACTGCCATTTTACAAATGAGGAAGCTGAGTTTTTTTTATATGGAACACTTTATGAATTTGCATGTCACCCTTGTGCAAGGGCCATGCTAATCTTCTCTGTATCATTCCAATTTTAGTATATGGGATGCTGACGCGAGCACAGGAAGTCGAGATTTAATAAAGATAAGTAATTTACTTAGTGTTAATTAAAAGACTTAGTTTTTTTAATAAAAAGGTAGTCAAATAGCTGTTTAAAACTTTTTTAAAAATGTAAACTCTATTAGCATTATAAATTTAGAATTGCCAGAGAGCGACAAATTCAACAAAGTGTAAGCATGTAAAAAGAGTAATTTTTTCAAAAGTTTGTGTGAAAAAGTGTGAGAGCAGAAACGTTTTCTGCAACATGAGTAGACAAAACCTAAATAACTTACCAAAGTAAAAAACAAAAAGAACCTGTCATCATCAGCTATGACAGTATTTCATAAACTGGTAATTCAATATATTAAGCTCAACTAATGCATTCTAGCTTTTACTTAATGCTAAAAAAGACAATACTCTGTACACAGCTGCTAGGAGAAAAATTTATAGAAGTTTAAAATTCAATGTTTTATATATTGTACTTATATTCAAAATGCATCTTGTTTATACTTTTGTTTTTAATTTAGTTGCTCAACTGTACTAATAATTTTGAAACTGTATCATAGAAAATACAGTGTTTATTTGCATGTGAATGTCAAATGTGCACATTATAAGTGTGGTTGGCAGTCTCTAAGAGTTTTCTACAAGAAGTCATTGTACTTGAAATTTTTGCAATAATAGAGCAATACTATTGCCTATTATATTAGACAGTATCTGCATGCACTACAGATAAACAAGGTAACTAGTACAACACTCAAATCTCTTGTCTAAGCAGAATGTTTACTTTTTATATATCTTAGCTTTCTCCTTTTCATTTTACATGATATCATCTTCACATTTAATATATGCTAATCTTTCCTGTTGTCCACAAGATTTACTGCTTTATGCGAATGTTCACACATTCAAATTATGCCTCAAATACTACTACTACTGAAATAAATATTAATCATAATTATACCCATTACAAGAGGGAAGCTATTGGCACTAATATTTGTCTACTAATCCTAGACATTGTAAAAGTAGGATAGGAGACCAAAACCCTACACAGGTACAGTATTTAAATTAAATAACATCTAATGGAGATTATCCTTATCTGAAAGGTTACAATGCTCCCCTAAAATTCTTTCATTCAATATGTGTAATGGTTGATTTTGCATCACCTTGACGAGGCCACAGGATACCCAGATATTGGGTCAAACAGTGTTCTGGTGATTATGTGAGGGTAGTTTTGGATGAGATTAACATTTAAGTCAGTAGACCGAGTAAAGCAGATTGGCTTCCATAATGTGAGTGGGCTTTATCCAATCAGTTGAAAGCCTGAATAGAACAAAAATTTTTTTTTTTTTTAATTTTTTATTGGATTTTAGGTTTTGGGGTACATGAGCAGAGCATGCAAGACAGTTGCGTAGGTACGCACATGGCAGTGTGCTTTGCTTTGCTTCTCCCCTTCACCCACATTTGGCATTTCTCCCCAGGCTATCCCTCCCCACCTCCCCCTCCCACTGGCCCACCCCTTTTCCCCCCAATAGACCCCAGTGTTTAGTACTCCCCTTTCTGTGTCCATGTGTTCTCATTTTTCATCACCCGCCTATGAGTGAGAATATGCGGTGTTTCATTTTCTGTAGAACAAAAATTTGACCCTGTCCCTGAGTAAGGAAGAATGTTCCTGCCTAATGGCCTTTGAACTGAGACATTGGCTCCTCCTGGTTCTATAAGAGCCTGGTGGTCTTCAGACTTGAACTGGGCCATCAGCTGTTTAGGTTTTAGACTTACCAGTCTCCATAATTATGCGAGCAAATTCCTAGTAACAAATCTCCTTATATGTATATATATAGCATATATGTATAAAATTTCCTATTGGTTGTGTTTCTCAGGAGAACTCTGGCTAATACAATATGGAAAATTGAGGTAGCACTTGTAGATAACTTATATTAAAGCCAAAGTAAATCTAAGATTCTTTAAAAGGAAATATGTATCTGTCATGCCAACAATTCCTGGAGAAAAGTACCAAATAAGAATTTAAGCTGAAATAAACTTATTTGTTCATAACATATTCATTCTACTGGACAAAATATGCAATCATTTTAATTTGTGTTTTTCAAACGGTGGGTTGCTACCTCTTAGGTGATATAAAATTTTCCAAATGGAAATTAGAATAAGTAGATTGGGATTGAATAGAAAATATCAGAGTGCATCCAAACGGGTAAAGATAAACATTATTTTGGAAACTCTTATTTCTGAGGCAGAACAGCATGCATTTATATGTATGGACACTGGGAACCAGACTGCCTAGTTTTCAATCCTGGTGCTGGTACTTAGTAGCATAAATTTGGACAAGTTAGTTAACCTCTCAGTGCTTCACTTTCCTCATCTGCAGGATAGAAATAATGCCTATTTTGATAGGATTTTTGTGCCGATTAACTCAATAAAGTGTGTAAAGCCATATAGGTACTAATTGAGTATTGAGAATTTTCATGCATGCCTATATCAGTCTGTCATAAAAATATACTTTTACTACTGATTTAGAAGAATTTAGAATTTTTTAACAAAGCACATCACATTTGGAATCTATTTTTTTATCTCTATAAAGTTTTCTATTCATATTAGTGCCTATTTTCCTATTTAGTATTAAATACAATTTGGTTAATTAATAACTTTAATTTACAGAAAATTTGACCATTTGACTGTGAACACAAATATTAATGAGATAAACAGTGCTCTATAACATACTTTTATTAATAAATTGCTAATGTTGGTAGCATATCAACAATAGGTAAGTCCTTCTCTTTTCTCACTCCCTTACGTAAGTCCAACCAGTGTCAGGAATTTGTTTTTATTTTGTAGAGACACAGACTATCTGCTGGCCTAAACAACCCAATAGAAGTTATGGAATAATCAAAAAGATATACAGGGAATACCAAAGTAGTAGTTAAGTTAGGAATTCAGGTCAGACTTCCTGTTCTCACAGGCTCCACCCTCTCACAGAGCTAGGAGAAGTTCTTATGAGAGGCAAATTACTGATACAGTCAATGATCCAATGCAATGATCCATCCAAAAGAACTCTGGCCAGAAACTTTCCAGTTGTGTGGTATCATACCAACCATTCACATAGACAAGTATCCACTTAAAGCCCTTCCCTAAGGTTTTATTTTTCTTTTACTTTTTATAAGACTTAGCTTTCACTTTTGGTGTTATTTACCATTATGGTCACACTCAGTTTACACTAATTATTACTGTTATTCATAAACACTAGTATGTGTATATGTAACACCAGTTTCTGTAAAAGTCAATCATTCATGCAACAAATATTAAGGGCCTTAAATAAAACTTGGTACTGTATTAGGTTATAGAGGTATAATGGTGAGCAAGAGTGGGGAAAAAGCATACTCCTGCCCTCACAGAGCTTACCGTCTAGTGGAACACTCATTAAACAATCACACACACACACACACACACACACACACACACACACACACAATCATAAGATTGCAAGATAGCCTCCTTGACAAGCTTCAGCTATAATTCGCACCCGATTGACCATACCTGCATCAAGAAAGCAATTTTAGAATCATCTTCATAATCAGCTTCTGTATAGTAGAGCTGCTGAAGTAAACATTTGTACTTCAAAAATGATTCTCGTTTTTGAGCCTCATTCTCAAGGCTAATGCAGTTACGACACCGGTATATGCGGCGTGAGGTGGATGATACAGAAAACTCTGTAGAAGGCAAATAAAGCTGGCAACTGTGGCAAAAGTAAATCTTCTTATAAAATTTCAATGGGTCTTGAGGGACCTACAGAGTGAAAAAAAAAATATCTAAAAGCCAGGCAGGGTCAAATATGATCCCAACCAATAGAAGTACCAAGGGCTAACTTATCTTAGAATGAGATAAAAGAATGGTTAGCTAATTTACAAAATTATATTTTTCCATTAACTTCCTATTCTATACAAAATCTAAATTTCAAGCAGCATTTATTCATCCTGCCAAAATACTGAAAATCTGTTATTCATCAATTCTTAGATATTTGTGGTAAAATCACTTAGAAAATTAATTGACTGAAAATAGGAAGAGGTTTTTATTTTTAAGAAGAGTTTATATTTTTTTCAGTGCTACATTGCATTCATTATGCCTATAAGGCAATAGCTAGATTCACATAGAAGTAAAAACCCACTAAACCAATTGTTCTTCTCATTCCATTTATCTTCAAAATAAATTCAGATTAGTTCAAATTATTAATATTCAAAGTTTGAAATTCTATGTCTAAAGCAGTAGACAGAAAGTAATTCTACCATAAAATAATCAATCCAGTCCTTCATTATGGGCTAAAGTATCGTGAATGAATGAGTGAATGGCGATCATTTCAACACAAACTGAATCAAGACATATATAAAACAGTCTTTCCTAATTTATGGTATATCAGTACCTCTGGCTTCCATGAAAGTAAAGATCAAGCAGCAACAGCATTTGCATGTGATATATAATACTTTCAAAAACATTTTTATAAAGAAGGACATGGGCATCAATGTTCTATAGCATTTTTTCTCTTACTCAATGTGGATTTAAAATATTTACTGTTATAGGGAAGACCCATTCAGGTGCCCCTCTCTCTCTGCACGAGACAGAGCTATTCTCTTTTTCTCTTTCTTTTGCCTATTAAACCTCCTCTCCTAAGTACACACACACACACACACACATTTACCATTATAATCCCTTCCAATGTTTTACTTTGTTCTGAACATCTGTTACGTTTCTGAACCTTCCCTTCTACTGGGCCTTACTTTTCCTAAATGCTCCATCTTCCCAAAGGGTAACATTCTTTGAAAGCTTCTTTGCCCCATGTCTTACAATTTTGGGAAATAAGACAATATGCAAATTTAAAAGGTAGCAGTTATTTCGGAGAAAAGAAGAGTGATCTAAGTGTATGACCAAAGATCCAAAAGACAACTTATCTGGGTTTTCTTATTTTGAGATTTACACATTTTGTTTATCTTGAATAATTATTTTATTTTCTTGCCTCCTAGGCATTAATTTAGCAAATATATCAGTCAACCTCATGAAAATGAGTTAGCACACCTCTTCATTTCAGACAGATAGGCCATTTATCATAATGCCATGGAAAATATTCTCTACCAATCTGAAATTGTGCAAGAAGTAAGATAACTCATTCTCATTATGAGTATGATCACAGAGAGCTCCATTTAAGCTACGAATTTAACTCTAAGAATTCTCCAGAGTACACTGGGTGCTTCATCCTGGCCTACTCCCAAAAAGTGGTTGTGGGGGTAGTGGTGTTCCTTCAAATTCTTCTCCCACTATGCATATTAAAAATGTGCGAATGAGCTATTCCTTTTTAGAGCCAGTAACTTTTCTTTTAAATCCTGTAGTTTGAGATATTAAAGAGTATATCACCCCAAAAAAGCAAGTACAGGATAATCCACAGATTTGTCCTAAATTCAAAAAAAAACTTTAAATCCTTTATCTTAATTAATATATTTCTCATATGCTGCAGGTAGAAATGCAACATGGTGCATTTTCAGTTTGGAAAAAAAAAATGTTTAATAGTCTCTTTTCAAAGTAAACATGCATGTACCATGTGATTCAACAAGCCACTTTCTAGGAATTTACCCCATTACAATTAATTTACCCAAAAACTCATATCTAATGCTTATAATGACTTTATTCATAAAAGATCAAAACTCTAAACAATCCAAATGTCATACAACTGTGAATGGAGTTTTAAAACTCTCTTGTGTATTTCAGTTATAAAAACAAACCAATGACACACTCAAAAACAAGTGAATCTCAAATGCAATATGCTAAGTGAGAGACGTCAGTCCCAAAAGATTACATATAGTATGATTCCATTTATATGACGTTCTGAAATAGATAAAACTATGAAAATAAAATACATATCAGTGTTTGCCAAGGATTAAGAAGTTGGGGGAAGGACTGACCAAGTGGCAGCATGAGGGAATTCTAGGGGGTGATAGGACCATTTCTTATTCTGACTGTGCTATTGGTCTCATGCCTCCATACATTTTTTGGAACTCACCAGAAAGAATAAATTTTACTAAAGGTAAATTTCAAAATAAATAAAATGATAGCATTATGTAAAAGTGTAGAACATAAAACTCTATCAATTGTATTTACTCCAAATATAAACTGAATAAGTCTACAGAAAAAGAGGGTGAAACAGTGGTTTGAATAAGAAATAACATAGTGGGAACCTTTTCTCCTGGACTTTTGCTACACTTTAATACTCTTTTTTCAATACAATCAGGTTTTTAAAAAATCGATTTAAAAACATATAAAATTAAACAATTTCTATTCTTCTAGTTTTGACTAAGTATTGAGATTTTGTTGTTTTTTTTTTTCAAAAAACCTAAAGATGTTTAGTCAGCTTTTTAAGTAAATTTTAACTGAAAATAATCATCGAAATAAAACACTATAATTCTCTGACAACATTCTCTGTCCCAAGAGTTTTACTAATAGTGTTTTAGAAAGTTCTGCACAGTAAGAAGGCAATTAAGCATGTATCTTGGCTTTCGAGAGCAAAATTTACACAGAAGCCTAATGACGTTGGAGTTGGAGAAGACAGTTTAATTCAAATACGTTACATTTGACATTCTCTCAGGACACCCATATGGATCTGTTGAGTAATATTATAACTATGTGATAAGAGTTATAAGGAACACAAACAAGGTATAACGTAGACTCTCACAAACGAATTTAACTCCGTGTGACGCCTTATGAAGGAGGAGAGATGAGAGTTAAGTCCCAGAAAATGAACAGGAATTGGCTGGGTAAATAGTGAAGAGCATTCCAGGGAAACCAACAGTATGTACAAAGCCATGGAGGCGTGAGAAATCATGATGCAGTCAACATGATACAATATCCAGTTGGAAAGCTGGCTAAGAGATTAGAAAAGAATTCAAGGTTGGAAATACACAGACGTCAAATGAGTAAATTTGGTTTACTAATAGACAAAATAACCATACCAAGGAGATACCACCAGTAAAATGGTATTCCACATGAACTCCAAGTAAAGTGTTAAAGCAAAATTTGAATATACTTAAAAAATTTGCTATACCATATCTTAGGATGTTGAAAAAGGAATACAGAGAAAAAGGTAGAATACCTTAAGGTATTTTGCAACTTGAGGATTAAACAGAGGTGTTTTGATATAATGAAAAAAGAGTGTCGCAATTCTTTTTCTGAGTCCTTCGAGGTTATGATGTTTGACTCCTCTCATCATAAGGTCAACCTCTCTGTCAATCAATTCTAGAATTTCCTGAGTTAGTTTACATTCATGTTCCTGTACAAAACACAAAAATATATAGTACAAAATCTTACAAATCACTAAGTGCATTTGCAAAATTACCACCCAAACAAACCAAAATCTACATTCCAAAAGAAATGAAACATTGCTAATAGTATAAAGTGGTACAACTAATTTGGAAAAAAATTGGCATTATTCAACATACTGGAGCTAAAGACATGCACAATCTATGACCCAGGAATTCTACTCTTAGGTGCTTTAAAGAAATCTGCACATAGATCTCCATTGTTCACATTAGCTGAAAATTAGAAACAGCTAATTGTCCATAAATAAATTGACTGCATTAATAAATTATGGCTTATTCATACAATAAAATATTATCTAATATATGGAAATAAATGAGCTATAGCTATATACAACAAAAGCTTAAATCTTACAAATTAATTTTAAGCAAAATACTCAAGGCACAAAACAATAGATATAGTAAAATTTTGTTAAATAAAATTCAAGAATAAGTAACACTAAACCATATTATTTAAAAATTTATACAGAGGTGGTAGAACTATGAAGAAAAATCAAGAAAATGGCTACCATGAAAGTCAGTATGGTAGTCACTTCTAGGAGATGACAAGAGGAGTTACAATTCGAAGGGAAAAGGGAACACTGGAAACACTGGCAACATCCTGTTTCATATATGTTACACTGTACATACATATTTGCTTCACTTTTCTGTATATTTTTTAAAGGTCACAATATTTTTTGTAAAGTAATAGAAGTGAGTGTGGTTTTGAAAAAGCCACAAGTACGAATTAAGTGATTAATATAGAAGTATTTATAAGGTCCTCCAACTGCCCAAGGGAAAACTAGGAGATACACAGTTTGAATGAAGGCGTCAGAAGATAAAGTCATTAATTTTAAAATAATGCTCTTCTGTAGTTTGTACTACACAGTTGGTGAAGCTAATATGAGGGTCTGCATCAGTGGTCCTTTACCCTGGTGGCATTTTAGAAGGACCTTAAAAATTAGAGGGAGATTTTAAAAAATTTTAATATTGTCCTCACACCTGAGGAGCTAATTTAACTGCTCTGAAGTGGGACCAAGGTATTCTACTCATTTATTCTCATATTTATTCATTCTCTCCCTCTCTCTAGCTTTCCAGGTGATTCTAATGTGTACTGCGGTTTAAAATTCACTGGTCTGTATTAGTAACTGTCATCAAACTAACACCAATTATTTATTGAGAGCCCCCTTTTCGTAAGGCACTGAATTTATATATATATTTTTTATATATGCATATGTTTACACATGTATGTAGATATATATACGCACATATATATTCTCAAAGCAACTAATTTTACAAATGACAAAACTAATTTTCATAGATATTTTAACTTATTTTAAGGTTGTGCAGCCATAAATAGAGTCAGAATTTGAGTTGTGCTTAAAGACTTCAATCTTCCATCAAAATATTTTCAAGTAAATTTACATATGAATATTTCATATTAAACATATTAAGACACATATGATTTGGCCTTTTTATTACTGGTAAAAGTTATGTCAGGATTTCTATTGTATTCCCTGTGTGCACTCTCTTTTTGCCAAGCTGGTCTTTTTACTGCCCTCTATAAATATCATGTTTATTTCCTACCTCTGAACCTACTGCTTCTCCCTCCCTCTCTATCTACACATTCTGGCAATTTGGTCATATTGATGACCAAAACAGACGGCCCATGCAGTTATCTAATCCACTGCTTATGTATAACCTTTAATTAGTTCATACATATTGTCACTCAGAAACAACCTGTATTTCTATGCCTTACTGAAGGAGCATCTGCCAAGTGTCTCACTAAGAACACAAAAGCACAATTCAGAACCCAAATATTGTTTATCTATACTGGCTGCTTATTATATAAGCTTACATTATTGAGCTTATAATATGATCAGTATACATAATTTTAATTTATTTACATTATTTACATAACATAAGCTTAATATTTCCTTTAATTTGCGCTCCAAAATGCAAGAGCTATACCAATGGTCCTAATAATGGCAGGGTTTTCCCCTTTCATTAGGAATATAGAAAACATATTCATTGTAATGAATGTTCAAGTATGCTGCTCAGATTAGCCCTACTTCAGCACCAAAGCAGCCTCTCAGCTACAGGTTGTGGCAACTGACAGCTCTCCACTGAACCTCTCTCTCAGAATTCCCTGTGCTGAAGACAGCCATCTTGCCTAAAGATAGCTACCATCAGCTAAAAAAAAACTGCCTCATCCAAGGTGTTTCTTCTCAGGGACATCCTGAATCAAATGACTAATCGCTGTGGCAGTATAAAGATCCAGGATCCTGTAAGAGTCTGGGGTATGTGAGAACAAAAAATAAATCGAGTCCTGGCCCAGGTCCAGCTCATAATGGATCTATTGGGTTCACAGAGCCACCCAGCATTCATTTCCCCGGTCCTTGAATATACAGATGGAATAGAATACTGGATAGCTGGAACAGCCTCCCTACCTCTGATTTCTTGACCTGTGGGGTAACAGCTATCATGATGAGGAAGAGCAAGCAGAAGCCCCTGAAACTGCCCTAGCTTGGGAACAGAGGAGGTGAAAGGAAAAATGGTCCCACTTACTACTTGGGAAATTTTTGCTTCCTGCCCCTGCAACTCTGGACTCTGCAAATTTAGAGATCTTCATTCCTGGTGGAAAAATGTCTGTAATGTACGACACAGTGCAAGGCCTATTAACTCTGAGCTGCAACTAATGCCTAGACTCTGTAGGCCAAAAGAACTGTGGGCAGGGCAAGTCTTTCCTTGCTTATAGAGGTAACTGACTCTGATCTTCAAAAGGCAATGGTGCAGTTATTACCTATTAGGGACAGGGAAGAAAATGTTTGGGACCCAGATAATAGGCATTTCTCAGCATATCTTTGCCTGATTTTGACAGTAAATGGACGCCTGGTAGCCTCAGCCTGAGAGAAGCAGAGCGACCAGGTTCAGACCTCTCAAGGTGCAAGTCAGTCCAAAAAGTAGGCCTCCTAGACCAGTCAAGGTGCTAGTTGAGGGAGAAGGAAATCTAAAACAGACAGAAGAAGGAAACCATGAGTATTTCTTGTGGCCTTAAAGCCAATGACTACACTGGGGGCTGCAGTTTTTCCTATTAACCTTGCTTTGGGGCCTATCTAAATCCGGAGGAGCTACTCCTAAAACCTACAACGTGAAACTGGATCCAGGCAGCAGTATGTATATTCTCCCCATCCTGGTAGATTGTTGGCTGACAACTCTCAAATTATACTCTTTCTGAGAATTGCTCAGAAAAATAAAGAGAGTTATCTCATTCAAAGTCATGCCCTTCTGGAGGTAGCCCATCCAATAAATGCTCAATGTGGGAGTAAAACGTCCTGGCCCCTTGGCTCATTCGGGACAACTCTGGATGGCCTTTCCAGTTTCAGAATTCCCCATGACATTGGGTGAAGTCATTGTGAGACTCTACCCCAATTTCATTTGTCTATCTGTCCAATTCTGCTTTCTTTACTGCTTCACAGGAAATATCCTGATAGCACTCTCCAATAAACTTCCTGAACATAAACCCCATCTCTGAGTTTCTTTCTTGAGAAAATTTGATCTATGACAGCCCCTAACTTTGTTTTCATTAAAAGTAGGATTAAAAACACAGAAAATCAATAAGTGATGAGAAAAAAAGATAAAAATAAAATGGTGCTGCTTTAAAACTGCTAAAAATAATTTTTTCATTGAAAACTGTCAAAATATGTAGATTATAACTGCTATTTTATATAATTAAGTATTAATCTCATACTATACTGCATATATTTGCATTCACTGCATAAAGGTATGTTTACATTCATTATGCTATATTTACATATTTATTATGTATTACAACATATTTTGAGAACTTTTAGGTAAATATTAATGCATTAACTATATCCTTCCCAAATTATATCAAAATAATTCTTAATGTAAAACACTTTGTTTTAGTATTTCATTAATTTTTTTATTGATAGTGAACTCTACCCCCAAACTAAGAGAAAGTTAACATACCTTTACAGTGTGTTTAAGAGTTAAGAGCACATCCAGCCTCTCATCCTGAGAGATATTTTTCAGCATAATGCACGTATAGATATTTTGCAGCTCTCTGGCTCTGATGGTGAACTGTGTATCCATCTCAATTGTTTTGCCATTAGGTGCCCTCCATATTTTTGGAGCTGAACACTTAAAAACAATATTATGTTCATAATTATCAGTTAATTAGAGGCTACAAATAACAATTTTGTTCCCCCTACTAGAACTCTAATATCATGTGCTTTATGACTAAAATATCACTAAAGCTTAAAAAAATTATTTAAGAATTTGCAGATAAGGCAAAAGTAAAATATTTTAGAAAAAAACAAATATGAGATATAGTTCTTCAGTCTGTAGAAGTTCATACACCTTTACAATATTTAGGATTTGCCACTAGTTCTTATGTTGAATTATTTGAGAGATGTATGGAATTACTCATTAACCACATGAGGACAATTATCTGTTTGGTTCAATTATATTGAGTGTATTTAAGTATGTCTTGATCCTGCCTTGCCAATTGAAGGTAACTTTTTTGGAGCAATTATGACACTCTCAATATATTTAGACCTAAAGATATACCAAAAAGGGACTCTGTGAATTATGGCTTAATGTCCTATAAAAATACATCTATAACAAGTTCAAAATTCTTCACAAAGCAGATGTCCATAGTGAAAGAGCTATATTGCTATCTTAGCAGTGCTGGGCTGTGGTTCCTGCCTGCCTGATGCTGGCTAAGATTCTCACTTCCTATTTCCAAATCTTGCTTGGTGCCTCTCAACCTAGCCCACCTCTTAAACAAAGGGACAAAAATGAAGTTCACTTGTGCTGAAGCTCATCTGACGACTCCCAGGCTAAGAATGTAGAGATTCAAGCCAGGAGGTGATATTAGTCCTCTACTGATTCAGGAAACACCAGATAATCTTTAATGGTAGTCCCTCTGTGTTTGCCACTGCTTCTGTTCCTTCCGACACAGACTTTTAGAGGAGATGCATTCACCCAAAAATTTCACAGTGAACACTTACTATTTGCTCCTCTACTTCAGGGTACAAAGGCTCAGTTTCTTTCCCTAATGATAATTGTTCGTAAACAAGACTATGTTGATCATGACAACTCTTCAAATGTTGGATGTTTTTCTAGGTTAATTGTAATTGCTCTGGTGTCCTTGTAGCCCAATTTATGCCATTCTTGCAACCACTTAAATCTTAGAAGTGATCTAATGTCAGGTTTAAATGGAAGCTCTATGTATTGGAACAGATCATCAGGAATGTGGACTAACCAAATAGAGACATTATATAAAACTATATTCAGAATGACAGTATCATGAGGAAATTTTAGTTGTAACACCAATTTACATCTACTTTTTCATATTTCACATTAGCTAAATTACATTGAGAACTGCAAAGCTACCCCTTAAAAACAACTATATTTGATATATTCTCAAAGTAATGGCATCATAATTCAGATCAAAGCCAAATGAATGCTACTCAGAGGTAGGAATCTTCATCAGAAACTTTAGATTCTCAGCTCCAGTTTTAATCCAGTACATACGAAGCTGTAGCCCTGTAATTAATTTATACTGTTACAGCATAAATTTAATATTAAATAATGTATTATTATCAGATGATATAATTAAGATTGATTAAAAGCTTATAAGGAAAATAGCTCTATAATAAACTATTTTATCATTTAATTATTATCACTTAGAAATAAAATAATTTTTAAATGCATACAGCCTTATTTTGGGTAGGCCTTAAAGTGTTATTGAAGTTTAATGCTTGTTTCAAAGTTCCCTTTTAAAAGTTTTTAAAGGCTAAGGCTAAGTTTCATATTGTAATATTCTCAAGTCTAACCAATGTCTTAATCTCTGCATGCAATTTTCCTCAGCGTTGCACTATTAAATGCAATTCCTTTTCTATGAGTAACTTGGACAACATCTTTTGCTCTGCAGGGTGGTAAACTATTTTATTTGTAATAATTCAATATAATGACCTTTTTATGAAACCCCTACTTTCCCTACCTCGTTGTATTTTTCAGCTGATAGACTGATTCAACTCTATCTTCCCCCTCAAGTTTTTAGCCCTAACAAATATTGCGTAATGTGGTTAGATCTTGGTTTCTAAATATATTCTACAACTAAGTCCTTTCCACCTTTCAATTTTGAACTCAAACTCTACGTCTTCTATAAAGATTCCTCTTTGATTTGAAACGATTGTATCACTTGTATCTGAAATCTTATTGTACTTGTAAAAACACCCAAACACACACAAGTACACAGTGTCTCTGTTTCAGTGACTAGAGGCAATGAAATTTGAATCCAAATTGCTTTATAATTGTTTTGTTTGCTAATATCATTTCTCTCAAAAGAGTATAAGAAATAAATTTCTCGGCTGGGGGTGGTGGCTCACACCTGTAATTTCAGCACTTTGGGAGGCTGAGGCGAGCAGATCACTTGAGGTCAGGAGTTCAAGACCAGCCTGGCCAACATGGTAATACACCATCTCTACTAAAAATACAAAAATTAGCTGGGTTCAGTGGTGTGCGCCTGTAATTCCAGCTACTTGTGAGGCTGAGGCAGGAGAACTGCTTCAATCCAGGAGGCAGAGGTTGCAGTGAGCTGAGATTATGCCACTGTACTCCATCCTGGGCAACAGAGTGAGCCTCCACCTCAAAAGAAAGAGAGAGAGAGAGAAAGAGAAAGAAAAAGAGGGAGGAGAGAGAGACAGAGAGGAAGGGAGGAAGGGAGGAAGGAATTTCTCATGTAGCTCTATAGCTCTCACAGTGTCTACCAGACTCTTTCATTCATTCAACAAGTGCTGTGTTCACTATACATTAATCAACGTATTAGGCACTGAGTAGATAAAATACTATCCTGGTTTCAAGAACTCTCAAATCTCATGGGATGGAAGGGTAAGAAAATAAGTAATTAGAAAAAAAGGTGAGTATGCTTCATGACTGTACATAAATAGGAAACTATGGGTTGCTATAAAGCACTTAACTGGTAAAAAGACATTATCTAAGACGAAACCTGAAGAATAACTAGGAGTTAGCCAGATTAAAGAAAACTGAGTGATACAATCAAAGAATCCCAGATTTGAAGTTCAAGTTCCCTAGAGCTGGCACTGAAAAGATATTTAAAAATCTGTTCAGCAAAGCTGTTTTTATACTTAGATGTATTTCTGCCAACATAGATAACTTGATCTTCAAGCCTAGGCTTTTTTTTTTTTTTCAGGGCTTAAGGTGTTTTTTACTCTGACACAGGAAAAATGTCAACTTTGCTTATTTCTCCTCCCTATTTCCTTTTTTCTTTGAAAGCTTTGGCTGTGATAAGAGATATACAACAATCATGTACTTAAATAGCGTCAGAAAATAGAAGCATAATAAATTCCATTTAGCTGCCAACAAATGAGACAGCACAGGCCCTGGAAGAGAGAAACAGAAGAACAGCAGGAAGACACATTTCAGAGAAAGGAAGGTGGAGAAATGACAAGAACCTTGAGAGCAGCAGGCTTCCACAGAAGAGAAGAAATGACTGTACTAGGACAGTAGATATTTTCTTCCTGCTGAATTAATTCTCAAGTCCCTAAGGACACAAATTAAGAATAGCCCTAACTCCCCCAGAAGCCACTGTATAGTAATCACCTTTTCTTTTACACAGTACAGGGGTTTTGCTCAGCCATAGCAGCACCCTTATCTCATGCAGCGCTCAGAAAGAGGCAGTGGTATTTTCCTGCCCCAACCTGAGTATGAAGAAAAAGCATTTAAAAGACACAGCTAACATAGATTGCAGTTTTCTAAGCCTGTGATTGTGAGTAGTGTACAAATCAACAGTCATCAAATAAACAAATGGCCTTGGCTCAAGGAAAAATATCTTACAGAAATTCAAAAGGTCTCTGGGTAAATAATACCCTAAGCTATATTAGAAACCAGCTGATGATTTTTCATTCAAACTTCTTGACCTGAATTTCTTCACCTCTGTCAAGAAGGTGAAAAACTCATACCTCTGTGTGAGTTTTTAATATTAGATAACCTGTGGAAGTCAATGTTTGGTGGGTTAAAATGACAAACTATCTAATGCTTTAAAAAATCTTAGAGTCAGCCTTTTATTAAGAATGAGGACTTCCTATAGAGTCCATTATAATCCACTAGTTCAATGCTTTGACTGGACAAATTTAAGATTGTATCATTCATTATTCAGAGACATTCTATGTTCAGGACAAAAAGATTGAAAACAAAATATTGGTTCAATAAATCATGCAGTATTCAGACTCAAAAAAGTAAAACTGAAACCAAAATATAAAACTGTGTTCTCCAACGTTATTTCCAAATTAAAGGAAAGTAAGTGTTTCTTAGAATGTATCTGTACATTGTGGTGTTAAATATAGATCTTAAAATTCACAGCCAGGTGTGGTGGCTCACACCTGTAATCCCAGCACTTTGGGAGGCTGAGGCATGTGAATCACGAGGTCAGGAGTTCAAGACCAGCCTGGCCAACTGAGTGAAACCCCATCTCTACTAAAAATACAAAAATTAGCCAGGCCATGCTGGCGTGCGCCCGTGATCCCAGCTACTTGGGGGTCTGAGGCAGGAGAATAGCTTGAACTGGGGAAGCGGAGGTTGCAGTGAGCCAAGAATGCAGCACTGCACTCTGCACATTTTTTTTTTGAGATGGAGTCTCAAAAAAAAAATTTACATATGGCACTGGTTGGTTGTTAATTTTGACATCTGAAAAAACTCTGACCTTGTCTAGTTTCAGGGATTTATTGTAAGCTATTTTTTCTTAAAAATCAAAAAAACGTTAGAATAATAAGTTACTTCAATCATTCAAGTTTTATGAAATCAACATTGACCCCTCCTGAATATTGGAAATAATACTAGGCTTGGGAGTCGGAGAGGATGACAAGACATCTTATAAGGATTCACATCAAAAGACTAAAATTTATCTTAATCATCTTCTTAGTATGGCAACATATATTAAAAGGTGATTTAAATGATTCTGAATTAGAGTAGCAGTGAGTTTTCAACTTACTATAACAGGCCAGCAGCAGGCCAGAAGTCATTGTTAGTCAATATTTTTAAATGCTGATCTAATGATAACTAGGCCATGTGAACAGATGGGGAGTTGTCCTCAAGTGTAGCTGATCCATACTGTAGTGTGTTCTTCCTGTCCTAATATAAGTCTTGGTCAAAACTGAAGGAAAATCACCCTGTATCAACTAAAATGTCCACTTCCTTTAAACTTAGCCTGGAGACTGATGAGACTAACTGGTTTATCAGCTGGGTAACTGGGTTTAGAACTCCAATTCTAAAACATATGACCCACAAAACACCTTCCCTTTGATTTCTACAAATTCTTGTGGCTAAGTTCATCCTTCCCTCAATTCTCTGCCTTTCATCTTGGTGTGTTACCCTGTATCAGTCTGGACATCGAGCCCAGCTTATTTATCTAGTTTCTACTCCCTTTCCAAAAATAAAATCATGTTGCATTTAATATTTCCTTTATTTTGTCATATAACTAAAGAAGTCACAAAAAGTCACATTGCACACCCACTGCCTTCCAACTGCCTCCTCACTTTACCTTATCTATTTCCCTCTAGGACAACTCTTGAAAACCTCCATTTTCCTGGAATAGAACAATTCAGCCTGTACTCAGGATCCTTCAGGGTCTCAGATTCCACCCCAACAGCTTATCCAAGTATTTACAAAAACAAAAAAATAGATCTTCCTTCCTCCTAGGAATTCTGATAAACAAAATTTTAAAATTTCTCCATTTCACTTTTTGTGTGTGTCGGGGGTGGGGGGGGAGATTTCCCTGAGGACCTTCTTAGAGTGCCATACCTCATGAGAAAGGGTAGTGGTCATCAACTGACTCTGGAATCACTTCCATATGTTGAGCCTTGATCCTTTTATGGACACTCCATAATTTCAAAAAGTGTAGTTAAATGTTTACAGACAATGCTAGACATGGGGCCTGGGGTAGGGAATGTTCTGGGCATAAAGAAGAATAGACATTGTGTAAGTATTTACAACTGAATTTTAAATAGTTTGCAGGAAATAGAAAACAATATGATGGCATGAGTGGGGAAATTCTGCAGAAGGCTCAGCGAAACAGAAAGAAAGGTGACACCCATTTTTCCTGTCCATGGACACTCATAGGCTTCCAGCTCCTTCGAGCATTCGTGTTGCCCTGGGCCCATACTGTCATCTCTGGTGAGGTTAACAATTAGGTATCCCAGTGACCAAGCTGGGTGCAAGATAAAGCAACTTGCTAAATGAATAAGTTTATTTCAAAAGATGACTCTGGAGAAGAATGATTATAGTTTGCCTACAGTAAATTCACCTTTCCTAGAATTAAGATATTTAAGAATTTAAAATGACAGTATCTACATTACATAATTTCTTAATGATACTTGGAAAACAAAATTATACAACCACTATTTCTGTCCCTATTCTCCCTCCCTACCTTCTTCCACAAACATTTATTGACACGGTAATAAGAATTGTGCTATGATATGAGGATAAAGAGATAAATGATAACTCTTTCCTTTAAAAGTTCAAAATCTAAAAAGGATTCAGGCATGTAGACACAATAAAGACTGCACACTTTGTACAAAGAGATGAGACAGAATCTCATGAGAGCATATACTACAGCTAGGCAGACCAGCCTTTGCTTTCTGAAAGAAGAGGCATCTGAACCTGTCTTACAGGGTCAGTAGCTAGCTACTAAGGAAGGAAGAAAAGGGTGTTCCATGTAAAGGCACCCAACGCAAAAGCATTAAAAGCACATGGTCTTTCTGAGGATATGCAAATAATTGAGCATTGCTGAAGCAGTGTGGGTAGAGTATGCAGGGAGAGATGGCAGTGATACCACAGTGAGATAAGTAAGGTTTGCAAACATGAAAATCCTTGTTTCCTGAGGGTAGCGAGGAGTGATTATGGTCAGCATTGTGGTTAGTGAGGCCACGCTGGCAGTGATATAGATAATGGAGGAGAGAATTGAGAAGTGAAACTGGAGGCAGCAGCCCAATTTGGAAATGTAAAGTCATCCCAAAACCCGTATTCAATTAAGTCAGAGTCAAACTCACGCATACAAGATAAGGTAAGACTTTTCTCATAACACCCTCCCAGGGGAAATAAGAAGACCTATTTGATACAGGCAAGGTCATCAGGGCACCATGGCAGAGCCTTTTCCCTGCAGGCAATGGTAGTGGGTTTGGAAAGGAAGCAGTAAAGAATTAAGGAGGCAGGAGGTATTAAACAGTAGAATAAACAGGTTGGTGGCTAGATGGAGATGTCAAAAATAACACCCAAGTTTCTGCCTGCAGCAACTGGGTAGATGATGAAATTTTCATACAGATAGGTTATATGCTGCAGAACAAGATCAGTCCTTGAAGTGTAATCTTGGTATATCCAAAGAGCAGTGACAGTAGGCAATTGGATATATGATTTGGATGCTCGTTAGAGATCTGGCATGGAACTACAGGGAGTTCTGGGATGCAGGCCAGAACTCAGGTCAAGGCCACAGATAAACTGAGATCAAATATGGGAGTGAATAGCATGAGAGGAGGACATTTCAAATATCAAAAATACGGTTTTTAAGAACAAATACCCTCAAATAATAAGAATCATAGAAACAGAAGCACTACAGGCTAACATCTTAGAGAAATGCACCCCTTTTCTTCTGTAGCTGAATTGGCTTTAAATTGTTTGGAAAGACTAGGTTCATAAAAGAAAATTGGTCACTATGGAAACAGGCTATTCAATATCAAACAGGCAGTTTGACCACAAAAGTGGTAATTACTCAAGTTTTTTCTTTAATTATATGTTTTCATGGTTTTCAATAAGCATATATTCTTTCAGTCAGAAATTTGAAGTCAGTTAATGATGCGGTGAGCCATAGCAGTAACAGTAGTTTATAGCTATTCCTCCCAGGTTGCTTCCTATCGGAGCACCCCAGACCTAGACATTTCCTGACTTTAATACTCTGCATTTTATCGCTGTATACAACTTATCTATTTTATATAGCCAGTCTAAATCTAAATGAAAAGAGTCACAAGAAATATCTCTGTCTTTTCCTTCATGGCCAATCCCCTTAATGAAGAATGTATGGATTTCATGTTACTTATCAATTTCTTTCTCTAGGCTGCCATTAAAATCTAAAGTTATATCAGAAAAAAATATATATCTCATTTTTAAGAAATATGTCATCAAAATCCTAAACAAAATTCATGCAAATTCTTGCAATGTAAGTCTCTTGTCTGGTACATTATTCTACATTTTGAAACTTAGACTATATTCATATTTATAGTACTTGCATCACTAACCTTATCCAAAAAAGCTTGTATTGCTGCTTCCTGAGTCGCCATATAAGCAATGTCTCTGTGTCTCCCAATGGAAGCAATTATCTGAGCCTCTTTTTCCAGAAGTTCACATAGGGCAGCTTTCCTTTCAGCTCCAGTGAAAGATTGGTTAATCCGTTTAAGTTCTTCTTGACGCCAGACTAGAGGAAAAACACAATGGACTCTTGAGTTTTTAAAATCTCATTTTTTTATGATCACATCCTGACAAGGAGTATCTTATTTTTACATCGATTTAAATGAAAGTATACACAGATAGAATCATTTATATTGTACACCTGACGTGTGAAAAAAATGACAAAATAGAAGCTGAGAGACTTAAAACAACAAAAGTAAAGTCAAACAAACAGAAGCCAAAGGAAAACAGTACAGATGATGTCAAAGTATGTCTCCAAGTGAGCATTCGCACTGCCTAGCACTGACAAAAATATAACGTGGACTTTGTGGCAGCCATGAGCGTGCACTGTTCACATCTCCCTTCAAGAGAGTACCTGTCACAAGGGGTAAAGGTAATTCACAGTTCCAACGACAGCATTTCAGAGCTGCTGCCTTGCTGAAGCCAAGGTTGCACTGCCTACAAAGCACTCAATAATGACCAGGCACCATGCAGGAGTCAGAGCCTGAATCTGCCCAGTGGACTTTTCTGTGGTCCGTCATATCAGAGCCAACTGCCAGGCTGGCTTAGACTTCCTTAGAGCTAAGACTGTCCATACCCCATCTTCTTTCCTTCCCTCTCTCAACTAATGAGGTGTCAAATCTCACCTCAATCTGAAGACTTCCTTTGCCTTCCTCTGCTCCCTTTCCCCTTTATCTTCACTTCCAATTACACCCTGGTGTCTCCTCCCTCAATGACACAAATTGACATAGTTTTACGTACAATTGTTGATTTCAGTCATGTCTTTCATTCACTTAGGTGCCATTTTCCATTTATTTACAAAACTCTAAATTATAGTCATAAATGTTATAAAGTAATTGCATTTACTGTTTACTCAAACTACTGCATTATGTTATAATAATATTTATGACATTTTAAAGCACTGGTAACTATCAATAAAAAATATGCTGCCCAAACTTAAATAAACCAAAATTTCTGAGCTCAGATACAAGCATTTTACCAATTGTTCCATTTAATTTTTACATGTACTAAATTTGGAGAAGAAAAATCTTTTGTATCCCACATTTCAAAAATGTCAACCTTATTTACATTAACAAAAGAATAGGGTTGGAAAGAACTGAAGAAATTAAATCGTTTAACCCCACGTTTAAGAAAGTATCCGTCTCTCAGAAGCTTGAACAGGTTTAATTTGCCCATCCTGGTTCTAGTACTAGCCTTTGAGGCAACATGGTGTCGTTCTGTTTCTTGGTCACATGGTATTCCTTTGGGTATGTGAAGGGAGCAATCACATCCCACTGGTGTTTTATCTTCTCTAGGCATAAATATTTCTATTTCTTCAATTGTCTATCATTTTATTCATTTTCTATCCATCTAAGTCAAGCTCCTCTGATTTAGCACAGTACCTCTTAAAACATGACATACAAAATTTCTGTCAAGATAGGAGCTTCCGTACAAACTGCTACCTCCCCTCTCCTGTGTCACTGCTAAAAGGATAAAAGAAATACGAAAGATGGGAGAAAAGAGAGAGACCTGAATCAGTACTAAAAATCTGAAAGGAATTTATCCCTGTGGTAGAACCCCTGGGGAATTTCTAAAAGATACAGTGCAGATACTACCAAATAAATAAAAGACTGTCAAAAAGGCACACAAATGTTGTTACCCAAACTTCTGCTTTCTCATCTCAGAAAGTCAACATCATAGCAGATGATGGGAAACCCCAACTACGCAACTCAGGACTAGAGAAAAGGGTAGCATATCAAGCTATTTGATAGTGTACCACGCTTTAAGAAAGTCTTCAAAAAACTTTCAGAAGAATGCCTAACATTTCAAATCACTGCAGAAGTTAATAACAACTGAGTTTATGCAAAAAAAAAATTGAATAGTGCAGAAAGCAAGATGAGAAAAGCAAAACATAGCATAATAGTTATGCTTAACATATGAAATAATTCTACAGATATTTTTGTTGAAAAGAAGACAATTTTGTAAAATTCTAGTGACATGATGTTTTCAGGGGGCACACTTGAAACAATGTGACACCAAAGTTGAAATATAAAAGGTTAGCAGATACGAACAAAAAAGAAAGCAGAAGTAGCAATATTAAAACATAAAAACTGGGGGGAGAACCTCAAAATTCAGGTCTTTTAGGTAGAAGGTAATTTTATGATGAAATGTCTGTTATGAATGTTTATATAGGAAATCATATGTCATCAAATATGTTTTTAAAAACTTCTATCAGTTATAAACACAATGTTGGGGAGTATATTTTATATTATTAAAAAACAGATAAAATACAAATGTATTAATCTATGACGGAGCCAAGTAAAAAATTAAAAGCATAAAATATTTGAACAGTGCTTTTAAAAATTAAATTGTCGCCAGGCGTGGTGGCTCACGCCTGTAATCCCAGCACTTTGGGAGGCCTGGCGGGTGGATCATGAGGTCAAGAGATCAAGACCATCCTGGTCAACATGGTGAAACCCCGTCTTTACTAAAAACACAAAAAATTAGCTGGGCACGGTGGCGCATGCCTATAATCCCAGCTACTCAGGAGGCTGAGGCAGGAGAATTGCCTGAACCCAGGAGGCGGAGGTTGCGGTGAGCCAAGATCGCGCCATTGCACTCCAGCCTGGGTAACAAGAGCGAAACTCTGTCTCAAAAAATAAATAAATAATAAAAAAATTAAATTGTCATACATTAAGCTCTGAACACCAAAAGCTGAAAATGTAAACTTATTTTCCAAGTTCAGTAAACCGTTTATATAGATATATCATATTTGGAGAAGTAGAAAGCAGAAATGTTACAAACTACATTTTTACCACAGAACAATTAAACTAGAACTAATAACAAAAGTTTAAATAGAAATATTCTAACTGCTTGTTAATTGAAGAAATCTCATCAAAAATAACAATTTAATCAAAGAAAAAGTATAACACTATTAAGGGAAAACACTACATGTCAAAATGCATAGGATCCAACAAAAATTTCAGCAAGGTAAACTTGGGGAAATTTGGCATAAATAATCCTCAAATTTATGAGGTACAGTCAATCATGTACCTGTCAAAAGTAGGAGGGATTTGTAAAAAGCTGTAATGTTTGCAATAATCAACCACAATTCTTCTCTGGAAAATCATGTCTTCTCGGCACTTCATTCATTCTTCAAGACTAAAGATTACTGAGAACAGTTTTGATCATTACTCTGGTACCTTGGAATATACATCTGGACTGGGAACCCAAACTCACTTAAGCCATGTTTGTGCTATGCTCTGCATGAAAGTAAAACAGGTTGAAACTGCGAATCACTGTTCGTTATTCTGAACAAATATTCCCAAAGTCACCTTGGTCTCTGGCATGTATCGTAAGTTTCAGTTCATTCCAGGTTTTTTTGGATTTCCAGAACTATTCCTAAAAATCCTTATGTGCCACATTGTACGATTCTTCTTATTTATTGTGCCTCTCATATGCAGCAACCCTGGTTTTGAATTTGCAGAATAAATTCTGTCTTTGCACTTCCACAAACAGGATGCTCAGGGATCTTGTCTTCCATTCATAGAGGTTTACATTGCTTTAGCTTCATTCAACATACTCTCCCACTTCTCACAAACCATGTCATCCTCTCACTTATACACGGTCCTTTTCAGTGTGGACTTACCAGCTGGTTTACCACTGGAGGGCTACGTTTAATTAATAAGTCATCTAAATCTTTCCTTTCAGATGGAGATTATTATATTATCAGAATAATGAAGTTTTACAGTCTCATGAACTACATCCTGGCCATAGAATCAAATCTAATTTTTCTCTGAAATTTAAGAAGCCTGTTTTCAGACATGATCATTATAATTGCCCAAACTCTATCACTTCATTGCCAATTCAAAACACTCAATAATTTTGTGGAAATTATTATGTGAAAAAACACTGGTTCTATGGTGCATTCAAAAGCAAGAGTGACACAGTTCTTTCTCAGAGGAACTAATATGTTTCCCTGCCTCTCCCTGGCTGGACAGACTATAAAATCCTTCCACAAGCACAGAATTTCTACTTCTCTTTTCATTTATCTTCACCTAAAAGCACAACATTTTCACCATTAGGCTTAAAGACATCCTTTGTGTAGACCCCTTCTTGACAGAAGATTACTTACCCTTGTCCTCCATTATATACAACTCAATCAAGTAAAATATACTCTGGCATTGCTATATTCCAGACATGATCATTTTTCTCACCATGTTTTAGGGACATTAATATAATTAGAAACTATATTTGACTTCTTCTAATAAAATTTCAAGTTTAAATCCAGTCTCTGTGCATTAGATGATAAATATCTGGGGCTGTTAAGTATTGTATCTGGTGACTGCCTTTCATACATCTAGTTTTATAGGTCAAATGACCTCAGCTTCCACCACAGGACTACAAGAGGAGTAAACTGACTGAAGATAAGCATAATGAAGGAAATATATAACAATAGAAATCAACAAAATGGAACAGAAAAAAAAATTGGGAAAAATCAGGGGAAGAGCAATAAAACTGATAAATCCCTAGGCAGACTGATCAGAAAAAAAGGAAGAAACACAAAATTACCAATATCAGTAATTGAGGTAATAACACTATAGATCCTACAGGTATTAAAAGGATAACATGGAACATTATTAACATCTTTATGCCAATAAATTCAATAACTCAGGTAAAATTAATAAATTCCTTTAAAGACATTAACTATCAAAGCCTATCCCCAATGATAAATAAGTCACATTATTATTAAAGCAATTGAACTTACAGTTTAAACCTTCCCACAAAGAAAATTCCAGACCTAGTTGGTGTCACCATTGAATTCCAAACATTTTATAAAGACACGCTACTAATTCTACACAAACTGTTTTAGAAAATTGAAGAGTACAGAAGAGACTAGCATTATCCTAATACCAAAACCAGACAGTAACATAACAAAGAAAAAAAATCACAGACCAATATCCCTTATGAATACAGACGTAAAAATTCTAAAACAAATTTTGGCAAATCAAGTTTGACAACATATAATGATAAGGCAATAACAGGATGTGGGGGCCATGTGATTAGGCCCCCAGGTCCTCATTACCTAATCAATCTAAGGATGTGATTAGGTAATGAGGGTGGAACTGGGATTATTGCCCTTATTAAATAGACCCAAGAAAGCTGTTCATCCCTTCTGCTATTTGAGATCACAGTGAGAAAGCATCATTTATTAACCATCTCCAGACACTGAGTCTGTTGGTGCCCTGACCTTGGACTTCCTGGACTCCAAAACTCTAAAAAATACCTTTCTGTTATTTATGTCTATGGCATTTTGTTACATTATCCTGAATAGATTGCAGTCTTAACGAACGATGCAAAGGCAATACAATGGAGAAGTGACAGTGTTTTCGACAAATGCTGTAGGAACAACTGGATGTTCAAAAGAAAAAGTTTAAAAATTCACTTTAACACATATCTCACATCTCATACAAAATTCATTTCAAACTGGATGATACATCTAAGTTCAAAATATAATACTATAAAACTTCCAGAACACATAGGAGAAAAGTGTGTGACCTTAAGTTTGGGGATGAGTTTTCAGATATAACAACAAAGGCACAATTCACACAAGAAGAAACAAACAGGACTTACTAAAATTAAAAACTTTTGTTCTAACAAAGACACTGTTAAAAGAATAAAAAGACACACCAAAGATTGAAAGAATGTAAAACTGCCTGAAGACTGTGGGGAAGGGTATATCCTGTGAACATACTCTCACCTCTCAGTTCTTCTCCTCACCACTAGGGGCTGTTTCTCCTCTGCACTTCTTTGGGAGATGAGTAAATGGAAAGAGCAGTTCTTACTTGGCTGGATAAACCCCCTCTCCAGGCCTGTCAGATGATTCAAACTCACCATCCTGAGGCTCTTGAGCTGAACCCCTCCTCCTGCAACTCCCCTGACCCGAGAGATGTATTTGCACTCCAGGTAGCCACTTAGGAGTAATCCAGCTGTTCACTTCAAGCTTCTTTCTGACAAGATCCCTTCATTTCTATAGCTGGCCCTATTAAACATGGCCAAGAGCACCTCAAATTACCCTGTTGCATGCTTACTCTCTCTTGTTTTCTCTACTGTATAGTCCCCTTTTGATAGAAAACAAAGATATACCTCTGTTTTTAAAATCCTGGGAGTAAAGAATGCAGCAGCACTCTCCAATATCAAAGAAGTCTAAAAGCCCTCCTCTAGTTCTCTAGGTTTCCTAGGTTGGAGTCAGGCCCCAATATACCATCCTGGTCAAGATTCAGGCACCAAAAGCAAAGCATAACAATGGCTCTCTCCAAAAAAAAGAAAACCACTTTCCCGACCTCTGCAAATCTCTCCTAGCCCTTCTTATATCTTTTATCTTGCTATGTGATGCATGAGCCAAGAAATAGGTCCTATTTTACTTCCTTTGTAAACTCTTTATCAGGGAGAGACAGACTGTCTCTCATTGAATCTGGTAGCTTGATATCTCACCTATTGGAGCCTCAGTCGAAAATAAGGCAGGGTGACAGCACCCTCCAGTATGGCTACAATGAAAAAGACAGAAGTGTCTAGTGTTGGAGTGGATGACAGAGCAATTAGAATTCTCACACCCTTCTGCAGAAGTTTAAAATGGTGCAACCTCTAAAAAACTATCTGGCAGGATTCACTAAAGCTGAATTATGTATATCCTATGAACCACCAATTCCACTGCTAGGTTTACACCCTGAGAGAAGTGTGTGTGTGTGTGTGTGTGTGTCTACAAGTAGTACTGCTACAAACATCATTTGGTGAAATATATTACTTATATATAATATATATGTACTTATATTTATAAATACATATATATTATACTTTTATTTATATTTATATTAAATATAACATTTGTTCATATTTATAATTTATTAAAATATTTAGATTATACTTTTATTTTATAGTTTATATATTTTAATATTTATTTTTTATTTTATTTTTTGTATTATATATATTTAATACATACATATATATATATATATATATATATAATTCACCAAAGTGTACTACTTATATTTGCCAAAAACTGGTTGGGGGGTGAGGGGTGGTGCAGGAAGAACCAAATCCACGGTAAAATGGATACATGAGTTGTGGCACACCCATGCAGTAACATACTACACAGAAACGAGAACAAATGGCACTACACACAATAGCACGGATCGGTCTCATGACATAATACTGAATTTTGAAAAACAGACACAAAAATTTCTATTCTGCATAATTCTACCCATATAAAATGTTTAAATAGATAAAACAACTCCAATTATTGCAGGCTCTATTTAGAATATGGGATACTTAGCATCTTTTTTTTTCCAACTAATGGCCCTAAAGACAATTCAGAACAAAGAAAGAGATCACCTTCGACATACTGCTATAAAAAGACATAACAATCATATATTTTTGCCTTGAGACAGCCTCATCTTTGACATATTACCTTATACAGTTAAATTTGTTTTCTTAAATTGATATCATTTTGCTTTTATTACTGAAGAGCAGGTTACCTTGAAGAAAAGTTAAGTTTCATATTATGGATACAAGTATCATTATCAGCCATAAGAGGGCAGCAGTTCCAAGGAATGGAGTTATGAATATGAAGTGAAGAAAATTATGTAAGAGCAATAAAAATTACTGAGCTTGTGAACCACAGATTTTTTTAACAGAACTTAAAAATTATTATTCCAAGGCTTTTAATTTAGAATTTTAGGACTAGAAAACCCCAAAAGATGTCCCTTTTATGTAAGAAACTTCATGTATTTCATTGTCCTCTATGTATAAATCACATGTGGACTTAACTATAACCATTCTACTTTACTATGAAAATTCTGTATAAAATCATTTGCCATAGAACAATAGCTCAAATATGTGTAGGTCTGTATACTTTCTAAAATATTTTCATAAATGTAATATTTTATACTTTTTTTATTTTTATTTTTTTTTGAGACGGAGTTTCGCTCTTGTTACCCAGGCTGGAGTGCAATGGCGCGATCTCAGCTCACTGCAACCTCTGCCTCCTGGGTTCAGGCAATTCTCCTGCCTCAGCCTCCTATATTTTATACTTTTTATTCTATTAAGCCCTCTGAAGTAGACATGCCAGAAATTATTAACTTCTTTTTATGGATGAAGAAAGTGAGGTTTAGGAGACATGAGTAACTTGTCCTAATTAATACCACTAATAAGTAGAAAAGGCAGAAGCTCATTCAATATATTTTCTATTATTTTACACAGCTGTCTGTTAACCAAACAAAAATAACAATGGTATCCTTTACTCACATATGAATTTGGAATATTATTCCAAGAAGGGGAATGGTGAATCTACTGCCTGAGTAAAGAGGGCCTGGCTTGTTCAAATATCTGAAACTTTTAATTTATCCATGACTAGCACACATACTGCGGAAGAAATAAGGTATGAACGTCAAGATGTATGAATATACATTTATATATTGTTATTAGTAAGGGGAAATTTTAAAAATATGGCCAAGTCCCTTCTCTAAAGAGCAAAATCAGACAGGATACTGGATTACGGGATTAAAGAACAGCTCAACTCTGAGTTCACAAATTCCCCAAAACACAAGAAAACCAGATGAGACAGTACTTTCTCTCTTTATCTCACATGGATGAGGATCAAATGAAATAATACACTAAAACTGCGTAATTCACAAAGCAGTATGAACATTTTGCTAATTGTTAATATAAAAGCATTTCTAATTTCATTTCAGTCTTAATTGTTAAGTATAAATATAAAGTAGTATTCATCTTTCAAAATTCTCTAGTCCAGATTTCCAAGACATCTCCCCAAAATAACACCTTCTTTTGTCTGCAGTAAATCTGCTTTTCCTACTAATGAAAAATTTAAAAACATTTTTTGCAAAGCCTGTGTCAGACTTACATTCTAATGCATTATAAAGAAATTCAAAGTCTTCATTTGTTTTAGGATTATGCCTCCGATCATAGTCCAATTTTATCCATTCTTCTTTTTCTCTTATCTTCCTTACTTCTTCCTGTCTTTCCCATTCCAACCTTAAGCTTTTCTGTCTTCTTACGTTCTCTACGAAGGTTTTAGCATGCCATTGCCTGAAGTAAGTCTGTATCACTATCGCCTACAAATTAAAAGGAAATAGAAAGTGTCTATCATCAACTTTTTGATCAGATATAAAGGCAATTATGATTATTTCAATTCCAATTCCATAACAACAAAATACTGAGTCTAGTTTTAGCTCTAGACTAAATAGATCTTTTCACATACAGTAACATAAAAAACACGGATAATGCATGTCACTGCTATTTGGCTTTGAAATCTCACAAATACACCTTCATAGAAGGATGTTCATACAGTCCTTGATAGAATAGACTCTGGAGTAAAACTTAGTTTGAATCTTCCTACTGCTGCTCACTAGTTGTTTGATTTGGGATAAGTTAGCTGCCATCTCTATGCTTTAGTACCCTCATGTGTAAAACAGTGATAATAAGAGTATACATATAAAGTGCTTAACCCAAGCCTGGTACATCATGAGTCCTCAATAAATACTATTATTGTTATAAATATTAATTATCACCATCTTATCTTAAATGCCACTAGTTCATGTTTATAACAAAACTGTATTTCCTAAATATACATCAGATAAGTATGTGTGGAAACCACCAAAGGCAGGTTAGATAAAATGGAGACTAAAGCAAACAAGTATTTATTAAATTGTATGAAATATGAATACATTTGAAAGTAGAGCATAGTACTAAAATCTCAAAAAGTCTGTGATATACCTGAGAGAGTTTAGCACTTTTTGAGAGTCTCTAATTTTATTTATTAAAATCATAAATAAAATGTGAAAAAGCCAGATCAAGACTGATGATAGAGCATATGCTGATGCATCCCTTACTCTCATCCTAATGCCTAATAATTATAGAAAAACTATGCAAAGTAGATATTGACAAAGACACTGGATCAAACTGAAGGGATCCCCTAAAGGAATAAGAAACTTTAAAGAATCCCTTCAACAAAAGAGGCTGGTAGAATTAATTGAAGAAACAGTCTATAATCTAATCATACACTGGAGAAGCAAGTCAGAAAATACAGAAGGGACTTCAGGGCTGCTCTAAGCCCAAAGCTGATGGATGGTCTGATGGCAACTAACCAGGTGACTGCGTAAAAAATGCAAAAGGGATAGGTTCCTCTAAAATAATTAGGCAAGGATCAACAGAGATATCTGTCCCTAGGCAAGAGTGGTGAATGTCCCAGAAGATGACACCCAGGAGGGAAAAAAAAGCCTCCTAAACAGAAAACTAGCTTTCTTCCATAATCAAGCTTTACACATCCCCTAAAATCACTGGGGTCAGACTGGGTAAACAAATACGCTGCTGGCACATTGGACATTAAGAATCTCAAACACATCAGCAGCATCTAGAAAATTATTAGCAATGCAAATGTTCAGGCCCCACCCCAGAGCTATTGATCAGAAACTCCTGGGGAAGCAGAGCATTCTAAATATTCAGACGCCCTCTAGATGATGCTTATACCAAAGTTCAACTACTTTAGTAGTTAACTTTACTAGAAGTACTACTAGAGTAAATCAGAACAAAATACAAAAGCAGACTAGATATAGTTAATATTTTCATAGAGAAAGGAAAGGCTGTCAGTATAAAATAATATAATGAACCAAGAAAAAAGACTGGCAACATTTTTACTTTTGAAATTTAAAAAATTAATAGAATATGTTATTAGCCTGTGTGCTATTAAACTTGTTAAACTTATTTAAAACACCAAAATACCGTTGTTTCAACAACACAGAAGATTTTTCCCTTTCACGTGGCAATCCAGGGATTAGCAAAGCAGTTTCGGGCTGGTGGGAAAACTCTGTCATATTCAACGAATGGCTTCCTACTTCCATGTCCCAGACGGCTGGTCCACTTACCATCTTCCAACCAGTAAACAGAGGGAAAAGGAACAAGGAGCAGTTTTAGAACGATTGTCCCTAACATCTCATCGTCCAGATCTTAGTTACGTGGCCTCACTGATACACAAGGGAGGTGATGAAATGTGGTCATCAGTGAGGCAGCCATGTGCTCAGATAAAGCTTTGCTACAACAGAAGGGAAAAATGGGTAATGGCAGAACTCGCAGTTTCTTGTAAGCTGATCTGCAGAACGTGCAGATCCTAAAAAGTAATCAGCAGGCAAGAAAATTAGGTGAGAAAATTTTTTTAGGACAAAAAGTCATAAAATGTAAATGAATGTATGAAAAATAACAGACATGAAAGATTAATCCAAGCATTGTAAAATGTTTCTTTTTTTTTTTCTAGACATAGTGTCACTCTGTCGCCCAGGCTAGAGTGCAGTGGCACGATCTCAGCTCTCTGTAGCCTCTGCCTCCTGGGTTCAGGTGATTCTCATGCCTCGGCCTCCTGAGTAGCTGGGACCACAGGCATGTGCCACTATGCCTGGCTAATCCTTGCATTTTTATTAGAGACAGGGTTTTACCCTGTTGCCGAGCTTGGTCTCCAACTCCTGGCCTCAAGTGATCTGTCCACCTCAGCCTCCCAAAGTACTGGGATTACAAGTATGAGCCACCGTGTCTGGCCTCATTCCAAAATATTTCTGAAATAAGTTCCAGACAAAATGAGGAAAGTTGATGATAGAAATTCATCAAAACATAATAGAGGAATATCTCCCACAGCAAGACATGAACTCTCAGAAAGGGTCCATCACCAAGTCTCAAGCATATTAAAATAAGATTACCAAATCCCAAGGATAAAGTGAAAATCCTGACAGCTTCTAGAAAGAGGAAACAAACAAAAGAGGGGGCAGAAAATGAAGAAAAGCTTAGTAAGGTTCTTGACTTATTCATGGAGAAGATATATAGCCTGATTAGATATGCACTTGGTATACAAATTTAGTTATGTTAAAAAATGTGTATGAGTAACTGTCAGAGGTACCAGAGCAACTCCATCTTGAATAGGAGCTAGTAAAATGAGGCTGAAACTTACTGGGCTGCATTCCCAGACAGTTAAGGCATTGTAAGCCTTAGGATAGGAGGTCAGCACAAGATACAGGTCATAAAAACCTCACTGATAAAACAGGTTGCAGTAAAGAAGCCGGCTAAATCCCATCAAAACCAAGATGGTGATGAGAGTGATCACTGGTTGTCCTCACTGCTACACTCCCACCAGCACCAAGACAGTTTACAAATGCCATGGGAACAACAGGAAGTTAACCTATATGGTCTAAAAAGTGGAGGCATGAATAATCCAACCCTTGTTTAGCATATAACCAAGAAATAACCATAAAAATGGGCAACCAGCAGCCCTCAGGTCTGCTCTGTCTATGGAGTAGCCCTATTCTTTCGTTCCTTTACTTTCTTAATAAACTTGCTTTTACTCTATGGACTTGCCCTGAATTAGTTCTTGTGCCAGATCCAAGAAACCTCTCTTGGGTCTGGATCAGGACCCTTTTCTCTAATATAACCACTAGAAAATAAAATACTTATTTCTGAACTGTGAAAGAACAAAAAAAGAAACATTTAATCAACAAAAAGAAAAGGCTAAAGAAAATAGGTAAGAATAATTAGTAAATAAAACAAGATGAAATGGCAAGAATGGGTCCAGAAATATAAGTGGTCAAACATATTATCTTTCTTGAAACAAGATTTAAAATAGTAAGCAGTGAATTCAAAACCTATTAAAAAACAAAATAAACATGACCCAAGTAGAAAGGAATCAAAGTTAAAAGAACTTATTAAATGGAAACGTACTCCCTATACAGGCTTTTAACAAATCCCTCTGTTTACAGGTCACACCTCACTTCTACCTCCCACAAAATCGCCAATTCACCTTGCAAGACTATGGGGCAAATCTATTTGGTTCTTGATGCCATCCTCCTTGGCAGGCATTTAGATTTTCACTTCCTCTGCTCTAGTAAGTCAAGTTAACACTTCTCCATCTGCTTCAAAAAAAAAAAACTGACATTTACTCTTCTCATGTATTCTTTGTCCTTGTATATTTATACTTTTAATATCATTTTTTAGAGTTTGGAAAATGACAGAAATTTCCAATTCCTTACCTAATACCCATCCTCTCTTACTTCCTCTTACTAAGAAGATATGATCTCACTGAGGAGCAACATTATGCTACTTTAAAAATACTTTTATCACACACTTTTGTAGTGGGGATAGTCATATGACATAGTTCAAGCCAATGAGATGCAACGAGAAGTCACTGGGTGGGGCTTTCCGGGGAAATCCTTGAAGGTGGCTTCATGGAACATGCTGCCTTGACTTTTCCCTTCTTCTCACATGGAATGTAGACATGATGAAAATTAGTCAACCATTTTATCTTCATACAGTAACAAGCTCATGGTGAGCTTAACGGATTAGAAAGATGAAAGGAGTTTATGATCCTGATAACATCATAGAGCCTCCACCCATTCCCAGTATAGCAAGACAGTAAAAATTAATTAAGACTGAGAAAGTAAAAAATCATCAGGCTGGAATAACAGGCACGAATAAGGTCAGCCACAAAATTAACAAAAAACAGTATTTCTCTCAAGGACACTCTACAACTATGAAATGTCTTAACAATCCTATTCTTTGAGTGACTACTATTTTCTTACTCACTGAGAACCTTTGTTCTCTAAATTCATAAACTATCAGTAACTTTGATGTTTGAAATTAGATCAGTAAGAAAGAAATATTCCACTCTTGCCTAGAGGTTCTACATCACTTTGACAGAGAGAAGCAGCCTCAATTTACAACCAAGGCCCTGAACTTCAGAGAACTTCAAAGAAATATTTCCCATCTGTTTTAACTTCATTTCCAAGGGAACATGACCTTGATCCACTTCATAGTCCAGACCTAATATTGACCCATTCATACACACCCTTGTTTTGCTTGAGACTATTACGATACTGTTCCACTTAAATCCCCCCCAAACTTCACTCTTCCCCAAATTATATAATAACTCCATATATTCCCTTATTTGGTGAAAATTCGTTTGGACTGAAAGGTAAATGTATCAGGCTGGAGTAACTGGCACTGATAAAGCCTGCTACAAAGTTAGCCCCATGGTTCCCCTGGTATACTCTCTCCTTCAGGGCAATTAAGTCAACAGACTTAACTTTTTTTCACTGCAAGTTTGTGTCTAAAGGTCTTGGGCTGAATAGCCTATCTCCAGATTTCTTGACATGTGAAAAGCAAAATCTCTTAAAGTCACCGCTTTCGGGTCATTTTTACTCACGGTAAAATGACGGAAGAAGGTAGATCAAATAGGTTGAAAGTAAAAGAATGAAAAAGGATAGACCATGCAAAAAAATAAAATAGAGTTGGAGTGGCTATGCTAATATTAGAGGAAATCAACTACTGTCCCATTTGCTTTCAATTAGTCTGGAACTTCCTTTGGTGATTCTACTGTGACAAGAGTTAAGGCCAAGAGACAGCAGTGTTGAGAAGGCTAATAATGGCCAAACACAATACACAAAGACACAAATCAGCTGAGTTTCCCTAAGAGAAAAGGCAGGATTAGGAGCATTTAGGATTCTGATCCTTTACATGGGGGAACACCGGAGATAAAGCCTGCTTTTGTTAGCAGTGAAACATGACCCAGACTCATGAGCATTCTTTCTCAAGCAAATGCGGCTTAGAGAAACAGACACACTCAGAACAACTGGCTTATATATCAAATCTTTAGTATTCATCCACAATAAAGGTTATCTCACCGCCTTTAGTCTTTGAGCATGGTATTCTGCTGCTGGAAAATACTTTCCTGGAGTTACCAGTTTGTCAGTCATATTTGATACATAGACACCAATGTTAGTCATCTGTGTAGATGCTGTATTTGTAGTTTGTTGGAGCTTTTTTTTCTCGAAAACTGTCTAAAAGAAAAACATTAAAAATTTAAATAAGTAGCCCTTATATTACACACATAAGGGGGTTTTCTACATATTTAATTTTCTTTATTAATTGCCATATAATTACTTAAGAGAAATTTGAGAGAGTCATACAGTACAACAATTATTGAGTCTATAGATTCAAAAACCTAAAGAAAAAAATTAAAATACTACCTGTGTATCCCTACAAAATACATTGGGTCTTTCAGGAATCTTTCTAGGTATGGTTTGTGTTCCAGCATTGTGATACTCTACTCCTGTTATTTTATGTCTGAATCCACCAAGAAATGGTTTGTGAAAGTCAGATCTGACAATCTCAACAGGTACCTGCTGGTATTGATCAATGCCTGAGAGAGAAAACCAAGAGTAATGAAAGTTCAGCTAAGAAGGGACTCAAAAATACTTTCTCTAAAAGACATCAAATAACTAACCAGTTTGGACAGTGACAGTTATGATCTGACAGACATCAGTTAATCCAACTATTCTTTTGACTGGATACTGATCTGGATTTGCAGAAAAGATTTCCACTTGTGCAATTTCCTGTGGCTTAACTCCATGTTGTATTAGAGTCTCATTATTCTTAAGAATTTTTCCTAAAATATGAAATAAAAATTTTAAAAGTTTTAGGACAAAGAAATGGCTATTGATTTTATTTTTTGTTTTGTAATTGACAAATAAAAATTGTATATTGTGTACAACGTGTTTTGACTATATATACATTGTGAAGTGGCTAAATAAAGCCATTAAATTGTCCATTACCTCATATACTTATCATTTTGGGGTCAGAACACTTAATATCTATTTTCTTAGCAATTTTCAAATATGTAATAATTATTATTAATTATAGTCACCATTTCTAGAAAAGGCTAATTATACAGTCTCATTTTAAGGAGATGGAAAATATCAAAGGTGCTCATAGGAACACATATCATTTAATTATTAAATATAGTATTAGTAGTTTCTACCTCTTGCTCTGATGTTAGTACAGAAAACTCCATAATAGAGTTTTCATGGCATTTTTGAGCAAGGATTCATCATTATAAATAATGCTACATTATAAATAACTCTAAATTCATCAGGAATATAAATATATAATAACCATGAAACTCCATAAACATTTAAGAAATAAAAACATTCTATGGTATGAGCAGAATAATATGCTAAACATTCACTCTATTTAAAAAAAAAACATGGAAAGTGTTAAATGTAAGTACAGGACATACCCATATCAAGAGGAAGGATAATTAAATACCCACGCTATCCCCCATATTAGTTTGTTCTCACATTGCTATAAAAACTACCTTAGACTGCATAATTTATAAAGAAAAGGCATTTAGGCCATGTATGGTGGTTCATACCTGTAATACCAACATTTTGGGAGGCAGAGATGAGCAGATCACTGTGGCCAGGAGTTCATAACCAGCCTGGCCAACATGGGGAAACCCCATCTCTGCTAAAAATACAAAACTGAGTCAGGCCAAGGTGGTACATGCCTGTAATGCTAGCTACTCAGGAGGCTGAGGCAAGAGAGAATTACTTAAACCAGGGAGGAAGGGGTTCCAGTGAGCCAAAATCACACCACTGAACTCAAGCTTGAGTAACGGAGCAAGACTCTGTCTCAAAAAATGAATAAAAAGAGGTTCAACTGGCTCACCATTCCACAAACTGTACAGGAAGCATGGCTGGGGAGGCCTCCGGAAAATGTGGCAGAAGGTGAAGAGAAAGGAGGAACCATCTTACATAGCTGGAGAAGGAGAAAGAGTATGAAGGAGGTGGTGCTACATACTTTTGAACAATCAGATCTCATGAGAACTCACTCACTATCAAGAAGAGAGCAAGGGGGAAATCCATCCCTATGATTCAATCACCTCATGGACCCCTCCTCCAACACTGGGGATTACAATTCAGCATGAGATTTGGGCAGGGACACAAATCCAAACCATATCATTCTGCCCCAGCCCCTCCCACATCTCATGTGCTTCTCACATTGCAAAATACAATCATCCCTTCTCAACAGTCTCCCAAGTCTTAACTCATTTCAGCATTAACTTAAAAGTTCACAGACCAAAGTCTCATCAGAGGCAAGGCAAGGCCCTTCTACCTATGATCCTATAAAATGAAAAAGAAGTTAGATACTTCCAAGATACAATGGGAGCATAGGTGTTGGGTGAACATACCCATTCCAAAATGGAGAAATCAGCCAAAACAAAGGGGCTACAGGTCCCATGTAAGTTCAAAACCCAGCAGAGCAATTACTGAATCTTAAGGCTCCAAATAATCTCCTTTGATTCCATGTCTCACATCCAGGCAAGACTGATGCAAGGGGTGGGCTCACAAGGCCTTGGGAAGCTCTGCACCTGTGGCTCTGCAAGGCTCAGCTCACATGGCTGCTCTCAAGAGCTGGCACTGAGTCCCTGTGGCTTTGTCAGATGCACAGTACCAGCTGCTAATGGATCTACCATTCTGGAGTCTGGAAGATGGTGGCCCTCTTCTCATAACTCCACTGGGCAGTGCCACAGTGAGGACTCTGTGTGGGGGATCCAATCATATATTTCCCCTCTGCACTGCCCTAGCAGAGGTTTTCTATGAGGACTCTGCTCCTGAAGTCAACTTCTGCCTGGACATCCAGACATTTCCATACATCCTCTGAAAACTAGGCTGCGGCTCCCAAGCCTCAACTCTTGCCCTCTGTGTACCCATAGGCTTAATATCACATGGAAGCCACCAAGGCTTATGGTTTCCACCCTCTGGAGCAACAGCCTAAGACATATCTGGGATATGTCTTTTAGCCACAGCAGGAGCTGGAGTGGCTGGGACATAGGCAGAAGTGTCCTGAGTGGCAATGGGCCTGGCCCACAAAACCACTTTTCCCTCCTAGCCCTCTAGGCCTGTGACAAGAAGGGCTGCCATGAAGGTTTCTAAAATGGCTTTGAGGCATTTTCCCCACTGTCTTGGCCACTAACATTTGGCTCCCCTTTATTCATGCAAATTTTACAGCCTGCTTTAATTCCTCCCTTGAAATAGGGTTTTTCTTTTCTGCCACATGGTCAGGTTACACATTTTCTTGACTTTTATGCTCAGCTTCACTTTTAAATGTAAGTTCCAGTTACAGATCATCTCTGCTCACATGTATGATCATATACTCTTAGAACCAGGTAGGCCACATTTTGAACACACTGTTGCTTAGAAATTTCTTCCACCAGATACCCTAAATCATCACTTTGAAATTCAAAGTTCCACAGATCCCTAAAGCAAGGATGCAATGCTGCCAGTCTCTTTGCTAAAGCATAGCACATGTGTCCTTTACTCCAGCTCTCAATGAGTTCTTCATTTCCATCTGAGACTACCGCAGCCTGGACTCCATTGTCCATATCGCTATCAGCATTTTGGTCACAACAATTAACAAGTCTCTACTAAATTCCAAACTTTCCCTCATCTTCCTGTCTTCTTCAAAGGCCTCCAAACTGCTCCAACTTCTGCCCATTACCCAGTTCCAAAGCTGCTTCCATATATTCAGATATCTTTAGAGCAATCTTTAGAGCAGACTAAAACTTTCTGTATTAGTCTGTTCTCGCATTGCTATAAAGAACTACTTAAGACTAGGTACTTTATGAAGAAAAGAGGGTTAACTGGCTCAAAGTTCTATGGGATGTACAGAAAGCGTGGTTGTGGAGGCCTCCGGAAACACAATCATAGCAGAAGGTGAAGAAGGAGGCATGTCTTACATGGCTGGAACAGGGGGAAAAGAGCAAAAGAGGAGGTGCTAAACACCTTTCAAAAACCAGATCTCATAATAACTCACTATTACAAGAACAGCAAGGGGGAAATCTGCCCCCACGATCCAATCACCTCACACAAGATAGAATACAATTGGGGAATACAATTCAACACTGGGGAAGGCAATTCAACATGAGATTTGCGTGGGGACACAAATCCAAACCATATCACCTCCAGCACAGAGAAGCATATATGCAGAATCCCTTACTTTCTCTCTTTTCATAACCAGAAACTCACATAAATTAATTCATGCCATGATGAAGGTAAGCCTCAGTTTTGTGCTAGAAAAAGTGTACATTGCTTAATTTTTATCATGCTATTGTTTTAACTTCTACTCACTCCTCCCCCATCTGCCCAGTCACTACTGTATTCAGTAAACTGACTAATTTTCTTTCTCTATTTTAAGGCATACAAAAAAGTAATTATGTGACTGACTGCTATTTTGTGTTATGGAAACTTTATTGATGGACTCTATATTAATCTTCAAATTTGTGGCCCTTCTAAATTTCAGTTAGGAATGTGAACGCATCAAAAGCTTTACTCATTCAAATTTATCAGACACCACTACAGTCTCCAACTTACAATGATAATGGCTCAACTTACAATTTTATGGCTTTACAATGATGCAAAAGCCACACACATTTAGTAGAAACTAGGCTTTGAGTACCTATACAATCATTCTGTTTTCATTTTCAGTGCAGTATGCAATAAGTTATGTAAGATATTCAACACTTATAAAATAGTCCTTGCATTAAATAATTTTGCCCAACCATAGGCTAATGTAACTGTTCTGAGTACATTTAGGGTAGGTTAGGCTTACTAAATGCAGTTGTTACATATGATGCTTTTAATTTATGATGGGTTTACTGAGACATAACCCAATATGAGGAGCATCTGTAGTCTATTTTGGCTATGTTCAAGAAAGCACATTCTAAGATATCTGAGTTTCTATTTCACACTCTAAATTCTTCAGTTAAAAAATTAACATTTGGGCCAGCCGTGAGGCTCACGCCTGTAATCCCAGCACTTTGGGAGGCCAAGGTGGGCAGATCACAGGGTCAGGAGTTTGAGATCAGCCTGGCCAATAAAATGAAACTTTGTCTCTATCAAAAATACAAAAATTAGCCGGGCATGGTGGTGCATGCCTGTAGTCCCAGCTACTCAGGAGGCTGAGGCAGGAGAATCACTTGAACCTGGGAGGCGGAGGTTGCAGTGAGCCAACATCACGCCACTGATTCCAGGCTAGGTGACAGAGCGAGACTCCATCTCAAAAAACATTAACATGAATGTCATATGGACCTTAAAATAGGTTGAATAATGGCCCCAAGTATGTCTACATCCTAATCTCTAGGGCCTATGAATATGGAAAAAGTGGCTTTGCAGATTTAATTGAGAATTTTGAGCTGGAAAGATTTTCCTGGATTATCTGGCTGGGCCTTAAATGTAATCACAAGTCCCCTTATAAGAGGAAGGAAGAGGAAAATTTATTGACAGGGGAGAAGGCCATATGAAAGAAGCAGAAAGAGATTTGAAAATGCTACAGTTCTGGGTTTTTTAATGGAGGAAGGAGCTAATAAGGCAAGAAAAACAGGGAATGCAGCTCTAGAAGCTGGAGGGGCAAGGAAGTAGATTCTTTCAGAGCCTCCAGAGGGACAGCAGCCCTGTAGACACCACCTTGATTTTATCTCAACGAAATTAATTTTGGATTTTTTGCCTCCAGAACCATAAGCAAAATATATGTGTAGCTTTAAGCCACTAAGTTTGTGACTGTTAGAACAGCCATAGGAAAGCAATACCGGTTCCCAGAGCCCTCTTCATTTCTATACTTATTTCTGTAATGGGCTTAATCTCACCACACTGGAGCTCAAGTTCTAGTACTAGCAAAAAGCACTTTAGAGGATGGCTGGCATAGAATCAAGCTCTTTTGTAACTGCTGCTGGCATAAGCCGGTTACCCAGTGGTGATGCCTGGTACTTAAAGAAAGGTCATGAAGTACAGAGAGAACAGAGAACCCCTTAAGTACCATTAGCTGGCTACTACAACCTCAAAGCGCTCTCTCATCCAGTTTTGCACTTCACCTTACCGTTAATGCCCAGCAGTTGCAGATGCCCTCCGGAGTCACACCTATGTGGAAGTTCACACTCTGCCACTTACCAGTTTTGCAAGTCTGCACAAGTTTCTTGAGTTTCAGTTTCCTTCTCCCAAAATAAAAGTTACTAGTAATTCCTACATCAAAAGGCTGTTGTGTGGATTAAATTACAATGTAGGCCAAATATTTTTGGAAGTACTAGCACACAGTATGTGCTCAATAAATTAATCGCCAACACCAACAGTATGGTCATAATCATTATTACTAACAATTATTTAAATTTTAGCTTTTGGGTATTGAATCAAGTTTTAACAATCACTTATCTGAACACATGTACAGCTTACTTTTGGAGTACATTTACTATAATAGATTTTTAAAAATAATTTGGAAATTCAATTGCTTTTCTCTGGAAACTTTTTGTGGCATCTTTATAAGTCAATATCAAAACTGTTTAAAATATTAGGATCTGTTCAGGCATATTCTATAGAAGCACATATTTAGGTGTGTTAGTCCGGTAAACTGTAACAGTTAATTAAGTTATATCCTCTCATGACACGAGACTAATATAACTTCAGTGGGCTGTTCAATGTCATCCACAAAATATAAATATACCTATCATCATGGAAATGTGAATTGACCTTAATGCACAGAATACTCATACATCCTTTCCAGTCCTCCTCCTGTTCTACACAATCTCTTTGATCATCCATTTTTTCAATCGCATCTCCACCCACTACCCATATAAAATCTACTTCCAGCCTCTCAACACTTCTTACCACTTCTCAAAACTTCCACATTTTCTCACCTCTTTGTGACTTGGCACAAGTGTTATCACTTTAATTAAATGAAACTTTCTAGAATCTACTAAGTTCCTTCCCTTGTTCCCACAGCTTTTTGTGCATATTTCTATGAAAGTGTTTACACGTTAGGTGGCAGCTACTGCATGCATCCTTTTCCTTACTAGTCTAAATAATTTCAAAACAGGAATCTTATTTCATGTTTCTCTATATCTTCTTTTTTTTCTTTTTGAGATGGAGTTTCGCTCTTGTTACCCAGGCTGGAGTGCAATGGCGTGATCTCAGCTCACCGCAACCTCTGCCTTCTGGGTTCAGGCAATTCTCCTGCCTCAGCCTCCCGAGTAGCTGGGATTACAGACGCGCGCCACCATGCCCAGCTAATTTTTTTTTATATTTTTAGTAGAGACGGGGTTTCACCATGTTGACCAGGATGGTCTCAATCTCTTGACCTCGTGATCTACCCGCCTCGGCCTCCCAAAGTGCTGGGATTACAGGCTTGAGCCACGGCGCCGGGCCTTATATCTTCATTTCTTAGCAAAGTATCTAGAATAAAGTAAGCCCTTACAAAATGTGTGTTGAATGAGTGAATGCATAATCACAATATAATGCTCAATGAGTATCAAGATACTTAGTTTTTAAAATCAAAGATCTTGATTGTTTACATGCTAAAACTAGAAAAGGCTTGATATGTTTTATTAGCCTCCAAACTTACCTGAGTATCTTATCTGTAGTATAGAATGTGGGATTCCAAATAAGTGTGAAAAATGGTCCTTGAGATGTTTAAGAATGATATCAACCTTAAAAGGCATTACAATTTCCTGGCCCACTGGAGTAAGTACAACTTTTACTGTAAATTAAAAGAGAAAAGAAAGAATTATAGTCAAATATAGCAAAGGTCAGCAAACTATGGTCCACAAACAGATACAGAATTATGTGTTAATAATTACATAAAATGCAAGTTGTTCTTGCTAGCGTTTCCCTGCTGTGCCCCAATGATAACAGTATGTTTTTAATTTTCTACAGGGAAAAGTGACCAACATTTAGTTGCTCTGAAAAATCAATCCATAAACTCAGAAATTAGCTCTAATATTCAATACCTGGCATGTATTGTTCAGATATAAGCATAGGAAACATCTCATAAAATCAGGCACTTTTGCATAGTGAATTTAGGAAAGAGAGACCTGAGACACAGAGGGTGTCCCAGAATTTAGAAATGCAATATAACTACTTTTCACAGAGAAGGACATTATATGGCTCAATCCCCTCTAGAAAAGAAAGAATCAAGACATTTACATATTAAAAAATTTTAAAAGTTATTATAAAATGATTATCTGTTCACAAATATAGGAGAGAAATACAGTATGTAAAAAGTAATTAATATGAGTAAATTATTTTATTTTACATCTATATACTTCAAATTTTAATGGAGAAGATGTGAGAAGATGAAGTATAAAATGCAGACTACATACCAAAAAAGTACTATGTATTTCTAGATGCCTGAAATTATAGTTTTCAGGCATGGCAAAATTTAAGTAGACACTGGTAATGCTAAGGTTCTCTAAGCTTGTTAAAATTTGTTCTCACAGTTCTCTTTCAACAAAGAGAATATTATCACAGATGGTAAACTATAAGAAGGCTATTGTAATTGTCTTATTTGTGTAAAAAACTATAATAAATTTCCAATTTTTAATAGTAGTTACTTCTTAAGCTTTTGGAAACAGAAATGTGTTAAGGGATTTGTGAAGCTAAGGAGGTACAGAACCAAGACAACAGTTTTTTTTTTAAATCACCATGTGTTTGTTATAAGTTACAATATCAGGGAATGACAGAAATACCCAAAAATGAAACCTAAATTTACGTTAAATACTAAAATTGAGAGATACCTGCTTCAGTTAGGTATAATTAGCCTTAGGTAGTTTTCTCTCCCTTCTTTTCATTCTTTACTTATATGTACACATTACACAAGGGTAAACTACCCCACTAGATTCAAAAGCTACATTTTGCCAGCCAAACTAAGCTGCTGTTATTGATGTTGTTAAATCATAGTTCATGTTCTCCATTCTGTAGGCAGAAACACTCTCAAAACTCATTTACAAGGAGGAAAAGGAGCAGTCAGTTAAAGCAAGTAGAAGAGTTCTCTGTGTAACCACATTATTGCTGCTGCCACTATGCTGTTATTAAGAATGTAATAAAAACTACTATATGCCATCGACATTATTTTATGTCTTTAAAATTAACCTACAGTGAAAAATCATGATTTTTCTAAAGGAAAATATAAGTTAACACTAAACTGACTATAGAAATACATAAAAGCAACATCATATACGGAATGATTGACCACTGGATACGAAACTAGAAAATCTGTTGTCTAGTTCACATCCACCTCTTGCTATTTAGGTACAACAATTAATTCCAAATTGGCATGCAAAATAATTCCCATTTTAGTCAACAATTTCTCCATCATTTTCCAAGGTCCCTAAACATTTTTAAAACCTACTTTCTTTGAAAAAAATAAATAAATATCCATTTTTAACTTTAATGTTGGCCATCATTGATGGAAAATAGATACTGCAAAATAGAGAGGCTTTTACAAATAGTTAAGATATTCAAGCGATGTAACTCTGGAAGTTTGGTGGATAAGGGAAAGGAATATAAAATATAAAACAAATATACAAGCAAAAATAAGCCAACAAGGAAAAGCAATCATTTTTCAAAACAAGAAAATGAAATAGCCTATCTTCCTTAGGTAGTACCTGTTGCTAGAGAATCTTCCTTTGATTCGTGTAAAGACTCCTTTATAGCCTTTATTTTATCCAGAAATGCCAAACTATCATGATTTGGACTCTGCATTGCAAATTGCCTTTCATGATATAGTGGAGTACATGAAGCTTGTCTTGGTGATATAACCTCTTCCATGAGTTGTTCATTGTCTGGTTCCATGCTTGAAAAGCTTTGGGCACTCTGCTCCTCAACGTGCATTGCACGGCTCTCATTGAATTGTTCTAGTCCAGATTCATGTGCACGGCTCTCATTGATTTGTTCTAGTCCAGATTCATGTGCACGGCTCTCATTGAATCGTTCTAGTCCAGATTCATGTGCACGGCTCTCATTGAATTGTTCTAGTCCAGATTCATGCTCTTCAGTTTGATCTGACTCTTCAGGCTCTTCTGAGGGAACCGGAATAGTGACAGTGTCAAAAGCATCATCAGTTTCTTCTGTTGAATCATCTATATTCTGAGCTTCATATTTATCCTCCTGACTAGACATTTTCCTGAATTAAGAAAAATAAACGTTTACTACATAAAGTTTCTACACCAAAAATCAAATTTTTTGCTAGCACAGAGTAATATTCATAATATTCAAGTAAAATATTGTTCATTTAAAAAATGTTTATTATCTCAGTAATGGCATCAGATTTAAATAAAGCTTAAAAGAATAAATTCGACAGGAATACTCTGCAAATATATGGAAAAACATTTTAAAATCTCATCATTTCTTCCTTATTTAATGAAGAATGTCATGTGAAAAGACTTTTTGAATTATCTTTTTTTTCTGAATACAAAATTGATAAATAGATGCTTCTAGGATTACAAATGATTAGAAACTCCAAGGAACCAGCCAGCTCTATAGCAAGTGAACCCTAAACAAAATACACTTTTTGTAGTAGCTCTGCTCTTATAAATTGTAGCAGAGGTGTGCAATGACATCTGCTCCCCCAAATATACCTATTACAACTAATATAGGTTAATCTTGGAGTTGACTACACCTACAGCTATAGCAACCAAGAACTTGGGTTTGGAGGACAAGACGACAGCATCTAAAAGCTTGGGCCAGGATAGTCCAGGGCATCCCAGAGCCAGGCTGCAGAAGCAGGAGCTAAATCACAGAAGCAAATGGCCAATATAGCAGGGAGCCCATCTATAGAAGTCAGGAAGAGAAAATAGGGAAGATAGCCACAAGACAAGATTTCTATGACAAAGGCAAGGGCAATATGAAACCTTGGAACAGTAGTGAGGTGGAAAAGCTCTCTCTGGGCTTCTACTTTGAGCACAAATCTTTATGGAGAAAATAAATTCACCCATAGCCAGTGGAATTGTCTGGCTACTAGATTATATATTTTTAAAAATGGAAACATCTGCAATAAAAATATATAATTGTTGATATCAGTGAATAAGCTATTTAAGATTAGAGAGAGTTGAAGAAAAAATTAGTAAACTGGAAGATAAATAAAACTATTTTATATACAATGATGCAAAGAGATAGGATATAAAAAATATGAGACTAAAAGCCAGGGAAAAGAAAGCCTAGCATGTTTTTGCTAAGCATATATTTTGTTGTGATTTTGTACTGTAAAACCAAAAAACAACTAAGAAGATGCATCAGAGACTATATGTGGTCTTTGTAGCCTAAAAATGACCTGTGAAAAGTCATTTTCATAAAGTGTTTGCCAGCTCCTAAACTAACATGTGTCAAAATGGAGTCCCAAAAGCAAATAATAGAAAGATAGAGGAGAAAAAATATTTGTTATGTATTATTTATTCTTTTTGAGACAGAGTCTTGTTCTGTCACCCAGGCTGGAGTACAGTGGTCCAATCTCAGCTCACTGCAACCTCTGCCTCCCAGTTTCAAGTGATATTCCTGCCTTAGCCTCCTGAGTAACTGGGACTACAGGTATGTGCCACCACACCCAGCTTATTTTTGTATTTTTAGTAGAGGCAGGGTTTTGCCATGTTGGCCAGGCTTGTCTCAAAGTCCTAGCCTCAAGTGATTTGTCTGCCTCAGCCTCCCAAAGTTCTGGGATTACAGGTGTAAGTCATGATGCCCAGCCAGGAAAAATATTTTAAAAGGTAATAGCTGAGAGATTTTCAAAACTGATAAAATAATATGGATCCCCAGATCCAGGAAGCAAAATATAAATATATACCAAACAGGTTAAATAAAAATTAGTAGCCATACACATTGTTATGAAATTACAGAATATCAAAGACAAAGAAAAGGTCCTGAAAGTACAGTGATAAAGAACATACATCTACTGTTTTGTATCATATTAATTTACTGACATTAATACAAAGAAAAGTAAAATCACTGCAGACTTATCAGAAAAATAGGAGCCAATGTAATAATAGGTTAACTGAAAGATGATAACTATCAACCTAGAATTGTGCACCCCGCAAAATTTGCTCTCAAGAAAGAAAACAGAAGCATTTACAAGTTAGTTACTAAGTTACCACTAAAATGTTTGCTCTAAAGGAACTTCTAAAGAAAATACTCAAAGGAGGAAAATGATTTCAAAAATGTCTGAAGTGCAACTCGGCAAGGTAAATGTATAAAACCATAAACACATGGGTAAATCCAAACAAATACTGTCAATACAAAATGATAGTAAATTGAAATATTAGACAGTAATATGTAATTGGGAAGGGAAAAACTAACCTGTCTCAAATCCTTATTCCGTTTTTTGTTTGTTTGTTTTTATATTTTGGGAGTACAAGTACAGTGCAGTTTTGTTATGTTAATCTATTGTATAGTGATGAAGTCTTGGCTTTCATTGTGACCATCACCCAAATGGTATAAATGGTAACCAGTGAGTAAATTCTCATCCCTCATGCCCTTCCCATGCTCCCATTCTTTCATCTCTCCAATGTCTATTATTCCACTCTCTATGTTCATATGTAGATGTTATCTCACTCCCACTTATAAGTGAGAACATACAGTATTTGATTTTCTGTTTCTGAGTTATTTCACGTAAAATAATGGCCTCCCATTCCAAGGGGGATATATTCCTAACCCTAGACTTTGTTACTTATATATGCATAGTTAAATCTCAACTACAAACAATCAAAAAACAAAAACACAGTTTTTAAATCCCAAAGCAAATAAGAGGGGAAAAAAGTGAAATCAGAAAAACTGAACAACAGCTCAATTTTAGAAAAGGTCAAGAAACTTCTTTGGGCTCTCACCCGCACACACACACACACACACACACACACACACAAACACAACTGCATTTTGATGATTTTATCCTGTAACAGAGCTTAGTGATCTGATTAGAAAGAGAATATCATAATGAAGCCCTAACTCCTGGCAACATACTCATCTACCCTCTTTGGAGAGTCTGAGGTAATGCTTTTGTTTCTATCTGAGGAGTCATCCTCACCCCAAACTGGCCAAAATGGTATCTTCTAAAAACAGCAATAGCAACAAAATCAAGAACTTCTGCTCTTCAGAAAACACAACCGGGAGAATAAAAAGACAAATCATAGACTGGAAGATACTTTTCACAAAATGTATATCTGTTAAAGGACTTATATCCAGGCTATATAGAGAATATGAAGAAAAAATCATATTTAAATAGGGTAAAATATTTAAACAGACACTTCAGCAAAGAACACATATAGAAGGCAATTAAGCAGGGCCAGGCTGAGGTTGAGGCAAGTGAAGTGCCTGCGCTGCTCTACACTCATACTCGTGTCTGAAAATGAATGCCTCCTAAAATTTTGGGCCTAGGTGTGTCATTTGCTTCACCCCGGTCTCAGTCCTGAGAACAAACACCTAAAAAGAAGCTCAGTATCATTAGTCATTTTAAAAATGGAACTTCAAATCACAATGAGATATTACTATCTACCTATTAGAATAATTAAAATAATGATTAAAGCTCTCTAATAGCAAGTGCGAGTGAGTAAGCCTAAAGGCAAGTGGTACACACAACAACATGGATGAAACTCAAATCATGCTCAAATTATGAAGAAGCAAACTCTACTAAGGCTGTGTACTATTGACTCTATATGACAAATCCTAGGGTTAGAAGATACACCAGAAGCCTGAGGGCAAAGGTAAGAGTTGACTACAGAAGGATGTGGGGATTTTTTATGTAATGGAAATATTCAAAATCTCAATTGTGGTAGTGATTACACAAACTATGTGTTTATTAAAACGCATTAACACTCCAGACTAAAGAGTGTAAATTTCATTGTTTCTAGATTATCACTTACTAGAAAGTTGTAACAAAAAGTAAAAGCAACTAATGTTCCTTTCAGTAGGAAAAAAAAAGTGTACTCTTAAGACTAAGACTAAAGGAATTTCAATAACAATAACAATTATTGAAAACTGATGAGGCAGAAAAGAACTGATCCCAGATGTAAGGTGAGAGGTACAGGAAATGATAAATAGCAAAGAAAGTGAAAATATATGGGTAAACATAAATGTACTTTGGCTGTATAAAAATAACGTCACGTACCCCAAAACCTAAAATGCAATTTTAAAAAAATGGGAAAAAGACCGGGCGCGGTGGCTCAAGCCTGTAATCCCAGCACTTTGGGAGGCCGAGGCGGGTGGATCACGAGGTCAAGAGATCGAGACCATCCTGGTCAACATGGTGAAACCCCGTCTCTACTAAAAATACAAAAAATTGGCTGGGCATGGTGGTGCATGCCTGTAGTCCCAGCTACTCAGGAGGCTGAGGCAGGAGAATTGCCTGAACCCAGGAGGCGGAGGTTGCGGTGAGCCGAGATCACGCCATTGCACTCCAGCCTGGGTAACAAGAGCGAAACTCCGTCTCAAAAAAAAAATGGGAAAAAGGAAAAAAAATAATAATAATGTCACAAAGTCATACACACAGAGAAATACAAAATAATCATATGGCATATCTGTTGTGAGGGATGAAAATGATGAAAAGGGCATCTACCTTATCATAATTCCTTAATCTGGATACGTGTTTTATGTGGCTTTCTGGCCTTGTGCTATACTTAACAATAAAGAAGCTAAACAAAAAAGAAGAGGAGGATGAAGTACTCTATATGTCGACAAAAGTCACACTCCAAGATACATTAAGTGAGAAAAAGAAAGAAAGTGAGAAATAAGAATATATATTTGTGTTTGCATCTGGAGAAAGAAATATTCAGAAAAGCATGAAAGAAACTAAGAAAGCGAGTTACCTGATGAGGGGCAAAGAGCATAGAAAGTAGCCAGAAGAAGGGTGGGCTCCAGAATTCTCAATGTATTATTTGTAATATTTTCATGTTTAAACAATGTAAACATATTACCTGTTTTAGAAATTATATACTAAGACATCATAGGCTAGTAGAGTAGGAAAAACACAAGAAGGCTGGGAGAGTATGTGATCAAGAGTGCTAAAGCCTCTTTAGGAATAGGAACGAAGAATTATGACAGATCTGAGATTTTAGCCTACCGACAAGCTAACACTTTAGCCTGCCATAGTTTCATGAATGCTGTCAGAATACATAAGACTCCTGGATCAGAGACAAAGGACTT